AAAATTTTTTTTTCGAGATAACTGCATTGGAGTGAAGACCTTACCTAGTACTAGCTATAGTTTAAATATGAGGCCTGGATCTCAAGCGACTGCCTACAAATGGCGAAAAATATTTTCGAAATTTTTGAAATTTTGCACCACGGGTAGCTAGCTACCTGTGTGTTTTTCGAGATCTGGGTTAGGAGGGAAATCTAGGTTTTTTGTGGGTTTTTTTGAAAATTTTCTAGCTGTGGGTTGCCTATTTCTAAGCAGCCTCTACCCTATCTAGCGCAGACAACGTTCAATGTAATAGACACATCAACAACATATTAAAAGAATAGACGCATCACAATAACAACAGTAATGATAAACCGTTAAAAATAATCTTACTTCTCCAGCCAGCGGCATCGTAATAATCACCGAAATTTGTGAAAAACTCGTTAATAAGCCCACAAATAGGCCGTGTTGCTTCAAGGACGCCCATCTCACCGTCAATAACCCAATCGCCGCAAAATCCGCGCCAAACGAAAGTCCCTACAATAGAATTTCTTTCAGAGTGGGAGGAGCTTGACTTTCTGCGCTATGCCCCGCCCACAACGTTTTTTCATTGTTCCTATCCCATAAACACGATTGCCCCGCCTCTTCCCCCAAGTCCCACCCCTTTCATGATGCGCACCATCAGAGCGCACCCATTCGACGCCCGCCACAAGCCCCACCCCTTGCGATACGCCACACCCATTCATTATAAACCTAGCCCTGGAACTTGGAGTTTTGGAAAGTTCGACCCAAAAAACCATAAAAAACCGAAGAATAAACCTGAACAAATCTGGCTGCAAGGAAGCCATTGAACGTTGTCTGCGCTAAATATGGTATAACTGCGGTGGACACAGTCGACATTACACCCGCAACCAAAAACACTGTGCGCGCACCGAACTTAAATACGATTGAAATAATAATGATACATGATAACAATTATTAGCATATAACAATAATAATACTAAATAAAAGCCCACCCCACCTGTTCATAAGCCAGTTGGAACGGCCAAGCTGCCAACAACGTACCCACACCGACCGCCCACATTAGCGCCGAATTCTCGTACTGCGTATACGTTATACCGTCAAGTGACGCCAGCGGATACTCCAAAGGCAGCTAAAACTGTTAAATAACAGCTATTTACTGTAATTTACTCATACTACTTTAATTTTTTTACTACTTTACTTACTGTACTTTACTTACTTTCTTACTACCTTACTTACTCTACTTTACTTTACTCTACTCTACTAACTAACTTACTACTTTAATTTACTAACAGCTACTCTAATTTACTCTAACAAAAAAGGCAGCTAATATCTATATTTAACAACACTCGTAACAACAGTAATAAGTAATAAGAGTAGAAATCTTACCCTATCTCCAGTGGTATTATCGAACACCATACAAATCTTCGTGAAATTGAAAGTGATCATATTCGAGGATATCAACGATATACACAACGAACCCAATATCAGAATGAAATACCGCGTCCTATTAGCCAAACAGCCCACATTGACCGCCTCTTTAATACTGATGCTACTTGCGGATTTATTGTTTGCGGTTATTTTATTTACACTTATATTACTGTCATTATTATTAGTAAGTTCCATTTTTGAGTTATTGATAATCTGAAATATTCAGTAATTATTATCGATATAACCGTTATTATTAATATTATCTCTATTATTATTATTATTATTATTATTATTATTATTATCATTATTATTATTACTGCTATTACTATTATTTTACAGTATTTGACTTGTAAGATTATAGTGACGGGCTGAGGAATACAAAGCGTTATAAGTAAAAAATACAATAGAATACAGTTAGAATACTGTTGATTACAGTATCGATTGAGGCTATCTTGATCAACGTTCTGAAATGAGACATCTAATCACGAATAATCACAGCAACTGAACTGCCAGGGTACTGCGCATCCAGCATTAAGAACGCTCGTATTATAACTGATCAGTAATGATTTATAAAGAACTGGTAAGAATGGATTAAAATAGTGCATTAAATAAAGTGAGAGAATCTAGTTCTCAATTATAACCACAATAATATACAACAATAATATACACAATAATAATTAATATATATTATTATAATATATAACAACAATAATAAAAGCAAAAAGACAGATAAACACGTAAATCCATTTTAATAAGGCGTATAGAATTCGAATCGTGTCCGCTTGCCCCCTGCGGATTTCAATAAAAAAACGAAAATTAAAACGAAATGCCTTATTAAAATGGATTTACGTGTTCATCTTGTATGATGTATGAAAATCAGAGAAAATATTATTCAATGGCATCGTCGTCATTTCAAAATATTTTCGGTGATATTAATGAAAATAATCGCAACAATATTAATGATAATATCAAAATCAAGTGGATTGCTGTCGATCATAATTAAGTTTAATCAATCAACATCAACAAACCAGACCATACCCACTCGCGCATCGTATTAATATCCGTTATAAATCTTATCTGCTGCTACTACTGCATATCTTTCACTATGTGCTGCTGATATATCCCTTCCCACACAGATGGATATCACATGCACATTAATACAAACACCACTACAGTACGTCAATACCATCAAGATAAACACATCCATTATCTCTAATATCAATAATAAGTGACACAACCAACCCTTCAAATCAATCTCGCGTCATTTCAATAAATCCATCCCCATAACTAAATTGCAGAGCGGCAGAAGACTGAGATATGGAAAATATAAAGTGAATGGAAAATGAAAAATAGAAAATAGAAAATGGAAAAACGAATAAGAGACTGAACGAAAGAATCAATGGACAGATAGTGTTGAACTTTGACCACGCCACCCCACCCCACCCCACCTCCTTAAATTTCATCCAATCACTCCCCCAAGTGACTGAAACGGTGAAATCAAACTCCTCCCTTTAGCAGAACACTTTTGTGTGTTCACTTTATTATTTATTATTATTGTATATTATTATTATATATTATTGTTAAATATTATTATTATAATATGTAATTGGTATTATGAGACATAGCGATCACTTCGCTGCATTTAAATCATCAATTACACTTCATTTGATATCACCAAATTAACAACGAACGATACACTGCGCGACTCACTCTCTCCCAAAATCGTTCTCTCTCTTCACTCTCAACGTCTCGTTCTCCCCCTTTCTCATACTCTCTTGCCCCGTCTGATCCTCTAGCCAGTACTGTTTTCTGCGGGATGTTTTGCATTCACCATAAAATTTTTTCACATTTTCCAAAAAGAGCCGAAATTCCAAACGAATTCGTCAACGCAAAATCACGGTCATTTATGTAATCGTGCGCATCGCATCCATGCGTCATCACTGAGAATTTATTACAAGATGGAAGAGAGACTACGGGAAGACGAGAGAAACAAAGATAGAGGAATTCCAGCGATCAATTACACCACCAGCACCATTACCCAAAAGTTTCGCACATTCAACACAAAGCGTATGCAAAAGAAATTCCCACCTTCCATTTTCCGCATAAAAAACATTCGGTGATTCATAAATTTGCAATGAACACATCAAAGACCTACCTTTTCGAATGAGGCATAACAGATCCATATCGTCGATTCGATAACATCTCCATATAATACTATCACATCGTCAACAATATTATACTCGCGTCGTCTCATGATTATAATTTTCAGTGTGATTACAACCATATAATAATAACCACATCACCATCGCCACTTTAATACCACTTCACGCGTTATCATTTCACATGATTCTCATTATATCATCGCCAATTCATTATCAACACTTTGCAACGCGATCGCAGCGCACTGCATTTAACGCAACTTAAATCAATACTCTTTATCACTATCATTATCGCCATATTTATTAGTGTATACTACAAGTATTTCTATAACCTAATTACTACCACTGTTATGTAAATGATAAAAAAGCAATGCTAACTAAATAATAAAACAGGAATGGAGAATGCAGGCGTACCTTGGAAATAACCTGATCATCGCATGAAAGCAACCAGAGCATACTTCTAGTGAATTGATTAAGGTGCGTATCACTGACGAAAGAATCAAATAATAACTGTGATAAAAGCGATAATTGCCTATTTGTGATGACTACTACCTAAAATAATTGAACCGATATAATATATGCGACTATAAACAGATATTATACACTTAACAGGTACATACCTACTGAACAGATGCAGTATATCCAATTTCCCTCAACTTCTCCACGATCGATAAAAATTTTCCTCGATATACACAGATAATAACGCAACTAGTTGACGATTTGCATACCCATTCACATCAATTAATTCTTCCAGAGGAAAATCTTCAGTAGGGATATTATATCGTCGTCGCTGCACACGAAAGATTCCCAGAAAACGTTTTGACTAAACAATACTAACGAATGAAATCGCGATGCGAACAAAACACTGAAATAATTGAGTTCATAATTCAATTTATCGACATTATACGCCTGATGATTTCAAAACCAAATATCGCAGATATCAGTATAATATGACCGTCATAATCGAAACGATAACAATAAAAACAATAGCAACAGTAATGAAAGTAATGACAATACTAACAGTAAACGGGAGAGGGTAAACGCAATACTGACCGATCGGTGAAAGCAGCACTCAAAACAACAATAACTATCCACCCCAAAAACGAGAGCACCGCTGCCATCGCCACACCACCGCGCAATAACCCACTGATAATAACTGACGAGTAAATAATTGACATTTTCACGCTACATTTCAAATTCCCGCCCAATCGCAAACCTCCCTTTGCTCTACCGGTCAACTTGCCACAAAGCGCCTAACTCCGCCCAACCACCCCCCTGACCAGTATTTTTAATATTTTCGATAAAAAAGATGGAAAAATATGAAAAGTAGCTATAAACTGTCATATTTATTATATATAATTATAAAATGGTGAATGAACACAATGAAAAATCTCAAAAAACGAACAATAATAAAGGCAGATTAAAAATAAAATGTCACCAACTACGCACGCGTGTGCGCGCGCATACAAACAACACATCAAAAATGAAAAATAATTTTGTACATTCGTAAAAATTTCGTAAAAATGACAAATAAAAACAATCAAGAAACCGACTTTTCCAAAAATATTCCCAAATTAATCGTAATAATCACTCATATTTATCTATCATTATATAAGTATTATAATTAAAAGGATAAAAATTTCACAGAATCCAAGCAGCAATCAATACGAAAAAACAGTGAAAAATCCACTGAACAGTAATGAATGGCAATAAATAACTTAAAAAATAAAATTAATAATATTAATTTCGCTGAAGCGATAATTTTCCGATGAAAATTTTCAGAGAATAAATACGAGACAATCTCGAGACGAACATTCAAACGGTAAACATCTGAGGTAATAATAACTATAAAAATAACACAATAATAAGTAATAAAAATGAACAATATTAATAACAATTACCGATAAAATATCATTTTTCATAATAAAAACAATCTCAAAAAAGTATATTTCCCACCAAAATAAAAAAATTTCACCAAATACATAAAAGATAAATGACCAAATAAAAGGTTTAAAATAACAAAATACAATTAAAAAACATAAAAATACATCACTTTGAGTGCAAATCAACAAAACAAATCAAAACGTCGCGATAAACATTCGAAAATTACAAAAATGATGATAATAATAAATAACAACACGAACGAGGTACTCATAATGGACTTCCAAATATGACAACAATATTAATAAATAACAATACACAGTAAATAATAACGATAATAATAAATCTCAATAATTTCAAGTTTATAACCCATCATCTCACCTATCAATAAAAAGGTGAGCTAAACCCAATCTAAACGCGTCCAAATCCCCTCCGCCTTCTTCTACCCTCTAATCTCAAACGCCTTACAATCTAATTGAAGTTCCCATTTTCGCTCACAATTCATTCATATTGAATTATAAATTCAACAACAAAAAATACGTTCACCATTGATCTCATCGTCTCAGTTGATGAGACGATTGGCGGTGTTGCAGAGTCGCATCAGAGCCTGTATGTGAATGGGCAAACACGAGCGTCGTTCACCCGTCACAAAGTCCATATTGAGCCACGACAACGCGTTGTACGTCTCCAGAACGTACCTGAAAATAAACACCTTATCAACTTTTTTTCATTTCAATTCCTGAAAAATTATTGCTAAACCGAAACTTTTCCAGTTTTTCCAAAAGTTTTCTGCGATATTCCACAAACAAATAACCGCAAAACTGGCAAAAAATACCGCAAAAACCTCTAACCTGAGCACGTCGACCGTCGCCTGACTGTCCAGCTGATGGTGTGATTGCTCGGATTGCTTCGAGCCAAACGACGAGATGTCGTCCCCCTGCTGCACGCACGGCGTGTTCAAGTGCAACGAGCACTTCAGATGCACCGGATTGCGTCTCTTCGCCGACGGACATGCGCACCAGAACCAGTCGGGAAGCTCCGCGGCGGGCGCTGTCGACACATAATAGCCCGTCGCCAACGGTTGATTCTCGATCGTGATATCTGCAAATCACCATCATAAAATCGGTAAAACACCACCAAAATTACCATCAAATCGGTAAAAAATTACCAAGAAAACCACTTACCAGCGTATTCACTTGGTATTCCCGTATTGCCGCCCACTCTAAAACTGCCATTCTGCTGCGTTTGCTGTGTTGTGTTCGTCATCAAGTCCTCGCCATTTCCGATCAAATCGCTGAATTCCTCGCCGATCTCTTCGGATAGCAAATTCGAGAAATCGTCCTCTTCACATTCCCCACCGCCCGATCCACCTTGATGATCCAACTGAAACTATTCATTATCATTATTTACTCATCTGCAAGCTATATCACCTACAATTGCTCTCAAACAATACTGACAATAATAACTTACAAATACTAAACAATAATAATAATAACAACAAAAAACAATGAAAATAACCCACATTCAGCTCAGGACTAGTCGGGAACACGAGAATGTGTGTGCATGAGCAGTCATCCGGAGTGGTCAACGTCCTATACTTTGCATTCTTCACAAATCGTTCGTCGTGTTGGAATGACGACGGAAACAGTCGCAGATGAGCCTCGGGCTCGAGACTCACCAAGCACGCCGACAACACACCAGGTATCTCCTTAAAATCACTTATTATTCACAATCAAAAACATAAACACGATAATAAAGATAATAACCAACATGATAGTAATCTATTTAACCTAATAACACAACTATAATAAAGAATAATAGCAATAAATATAATTTCATTTTTTATTTAATATCGATTTATTTAATTTTTAAGTTATTTTATTTAATAACTCTCACCGTTGTTCCAGGCATCATGTGACACGAACGGCAAGCTTGTTTCATCTTCGATCCGACCTGTTTCAAGTACGATTTACTCAACAACTGCGTCCAGACTGAAAATAATTTTGATTAATAAATGCAATAATAAGTAATAATCAGCACTAATTAGTAATAATGATAATAAAACAATAATAAATAAACGAACATTTGAACTCTCCGTGTCCAATTCGACCCACCCTTCCAATCACCAGTCGCCAATTTTTCGTACTAGTCGCCAATATTCCCAAGATATACGACCACAACCTATATAAACTGTCACGAATCTGTGTCGACGACTTATATCGCATGTTCACTCTGAAATTATTTATTTATTGATAATACACAACTGATATTAATAAACTCAATAACAATAAATAGTAACAACAATAATAAACACCTTTTATGATCCGGTTTCAATCTCAGGTTGATCAGGCAGTTGTCTAGCAGATGTCCCTGGTGATCGGTCACCGTGGCGCCCAACCAATCGTTCCCGATCAGACAGTAACTCACAAACAGCACCGTCTCGTCGCTGTTCAGCTGCATTATATCACCCGAACACTTCTGCATCACTGGCGACGGTGGGGCCAATATGTACGGCTTACACGGAACCTGACGTTTTTATTATCATTATTATTATTATATGTAATAGCAAGTTACAATACTAATCAATAATCGCGAAACCTTGTAAAATATCGGCTCCTTCTTGTCGATCTCATTCAACAGGTCGTTCATCGCGGACGCTGGGCCAAACCGGGTCATGCTTTTTGGCAGAATGCCCCTGACGATATCCGATAGAACGATTCGCGACTGAGAGTACACCGACAGCGCCAAGGTCTTGAGCGAATCTGATGATGTCATCCGCTCATTCAGTGATTTTTCGATACGACCTGAAATTAATGATTTTTTTAGCGCGGTTGTTGGGATGAATCTTTTCCAAAGGGCGATGAAACGATAATCGATCACCACAAAATTTCGACTACTCACCCTGATCGAATGCATTCAATCGGCCGCGATCGTCCTTCGCGAAATCAGCGCAATTCGTGTTGTAGTCGAAAATACTCTCCAACGACACGATCTCCAACTGCAGTTGCGTTCGACGTTTTACGTTCAAGCGATACAGCAACGCGTTGAACGAGCGCATCAGCGCCACTGTCACCACACGCGCCACCAGCGCGTTCTCCTCAGCACCCATCAGGAACGGATTCACCTGAAATTAATTTCAGATACCACCTGAAATCGACAATACATCTTCCTTTCACTATACTCTCAATGACTCTCTCCGGCACTTGCGTACTTTGGGGGACCCGCACTCGAGCACGCTCGCGTGCGGGTCCCCCAAAGTGAATAAGGGCCCTCTCCTCTATCCACACTCTATTTCGTTCATTTCTCACTCTGTAACCTCACAAAAAATAAAAATCACTCACCAAATAGAGCACAATGACATGCGGCAAAGCTCCAGGGTCGTCGTCCGGAATCGAACCATCGTTCAGTTGTTCTTGAATCAACGACGTTACCAATTGACTACCCGTCAAACCACCTGTACCACCCGGATTTCCGCTGTTCATTGCTGCATTTGCGTCGTTACCTCCTCCCAGACCGCCGCTCATATCCGACGAGCCGATCGAATCGACCAGACTTCCGCTGCTCCCCGCGGAACAATTCAACAGTCCGCCCGCACCGCTACTACTGCCCAGCGGACCTCCTTGATCCACACTACGCGGACCACCTGCAATCACATCGATCAATCAATTAATCAATAAAGATCAATCGTTTGTTATCGTTCTGATGAGACAGTCAAAATATCACGCACTCTTACAATGAAAATACTCATTTCTTTGTAAAACCCGACCTTGACTAGTATCCATCATTTGGCTGTTCCCGGCGCTTCCCAGACCAGCGGAAACACTGCCTGGTGCCGCAGGAGGAGGCATCTGCTCGCACGCACTCGAGATCGAACCACTCATCGCACCTCCACCCGTCTGATACGATGCCGAATTGCTGCTGTTGTGAGAAGCAGCCAGATTTGCGTGCATCTAAATTGTTTTATTAAATATTACCTCAATTATCAAGATTCTGGAATAAATAATAAAAAATAACAATATTAACCAAGAACAAAATAACGATAAAACAATAAATCGAAACCTGCTGTTCGACTATCAACGATCGATACGTGTCTCTATTAAAAACACAATCACTATTTAGCAGCACTCGTGACACTTCATTTTCAAAGTATTGCATGTAGGCCTGAAATTAATTTCAGGTTGCTGGCAACAATAGAACAAAAAATCACGGCAATACAATAACAATATTAAACAATAACGATAACAATAATAAAAGCAATAACAAATACCAAAAAATTACCTTTAATTTAGCGATCAGTCCTTTATAATCAGCCATATGCCTTTCGACCTGATTCAAGAAATTATCAAATTCCGAGTGATTCGTCGTCGAAAGATATCGCGACGGTACCCGCAGCAGGCCGTCCTTGAAGGGATCGCGCGAGAAAGGAATGTGCCTCCCGAAACGACACTGCTCATAAATCCTAAAATGCAAGAATTCAAGTTCACAATCAAAATTTGAAAATTCCCTCAAAAATTCACCACAATCACTACAAAAAAAATCTGAAATCAACAACAAATAATAAATCCACAAAATAACCCACCTCGACAAATCATCGAAGAATTTCTTCGACTTATCCACGCAAATTTGGTTGTCCGGTATCACCGCTATGTATAGTATGTCCTTGGGCTGGTCATAAGGCTCCAGCTGCATCTTATCCCACATTCTCAGTATGGTCGGCGACGCTATGATCGCGTCACGCTCCGACGCGAGCAGTATGTTCGGAACTGGCTCCGGAGCACTGTCATCGTCCTGAATTTTTCATATTTACCAAAATAATCTCTTGCAATATTATCACTACTTCTCACTACAGTGCTAGATAATACCAAAAGCAACAACAATAAACAATACCAAATAAAGCACACCCACCATTCCACTACCCGTTTTCAGCGACTTTCGATCGAAGAATCGCCAAGTCAAAGGTCCCTCCACAATATTATTCGTGCCTACCAAAGGCGCTGACCGTGCTATCCGCAGGGTCTCTTCCAAAATAGGTGCCACCTCGTTCAGTACAGCCAAACATTCCGACTCACGTGGCTCACGCATCTCATTCGCTATCTTCAAAACAATAAACAATATAAACAAACAAATAATAACAACAATACTAAAAAATAACAACAACAAATAATAGTAAAAATAATCCACGCTCACCTGCACGCCCCATTCATGCATCACAATATTTCTGTTGACAGATTTCTGCCTACGGCAGTTCATCTCCATGCACGCCACCTCACACGCCGCTTGATAGACCAGTGGCAGTTCTCGTTGATCGATTTCCGAGATTATGTACTCGGTTGGGTCCGACGAGTCCGAACCGAGGCGCTCCAACTGCAATTCCGCTATCTATTCTTATTATTACCGTTATCATTATTATATTATCACTGCACTATTCTGTTTCACAAAATAAAATAAATCTCACCTGCGTGGCACGTTCACATTGCAGATTCAGCATCGTCACTTTCTGCACGATCCCGCCCAAATCACGTACCAACGTTTGCTCGCGTAGCAATGCGATGAAATTCATATCACTGAAAATCATTTCTTTTTCAGAAATTGAACAACTAAAAACGAAAAGAATACAAAAAATTCGATGGTAATTGTTAATTTTCAAAAAAATTGATGAGATTTGCAAAGTTTTCTAAAAATTCCGTACCGTCCACTCATCGAATCGAACCAAATCGTGTGCGGTATAACCGGCTGTGTTTGATTTTCGGAAATGTCGGTCGCCTCTTTCGCGTCCTCGCTGAACAATCCAGACTTCATACTCAAATATCGATGTCGAACAGCACTGAAAAAATTTCAAATTTATTCATTATTAAAAACAATCAATATCAATTGATAACAACAACAATAATAATATTTATACCTGAATCCACAATTGCAATGGTTCGACGTGTTGTTATAGAAGCCACTCGTCGGTTTATTCACTACCAACTGCTGCTGGGCTGGTGACTGCCTCAACACTTCTGGTGGCGTGATATACATTCCCAGTTCCTGCATTATTTCTTGTTGTCAACTACTAATAAAATTCGCTTACAAATTTCTAAAAAATACCAAAACGAAAAAAAATGTTGGAAAAAATTTCTCTATCAATGGAAATTTATAGAATTTATTCTTGTGTGCATACCTTCGCTCTAATATTCGCATTACACGAACAGATCGGGCAAGCATCGAAGACACAGTCGTAGTGTAGATCCAGCACTGTGTCTTGCAGCAGAATGGCCAGCACCAGTGATTTTCCCTCGGGGTGGAGCGGGACCGCTTTCGCTGGGACCATTTGACCGGTCGGAGTGCCGTGTGGATGTTGCTGCTGCGGCTGTTGCATGCCCGCCGCATGAGGCACCACCGTCCCCTGAGTGTTCAAATCCAACATCGCTTGCATACCCAACGGAGGCCCCGACACTGTGTTCGGTCGCCTGAAAATGAGAGAAATTCCTCATAAACTTCGATGGGAAGCCTGGAACGTATGTGAAAAATCCTGAAAATACGGATCCGCATAAAAATTTCGAAATGAACCACCCGCCCCTCACGCATGCGCAAGTGCGTGCGGGCGTGGGCGTTCGCGCCCACCTCACGATGTTCGCCCACGCTCACCAACAGTCACTGGGCACGCATAAAATTACTGCACGTGAAGGTGGACGGGTTCTAATAAAAGAGCAGACATCAAGACAAAAGCGAGAAATAGTACTACACAGACAACGAGAGATGCAACACTTCATGAAACTATTTTATCACGAAGACGGGTTCAAAGAAAAGAGTAGAGATGGAGTCAAAAGTGAGAAATAGTATTACGCACACCACGAAAGTATGAAACAGTTTAATAAACTATTGTATTACGACAGGTCCAGCGGAAAGAGCAGAGATGAAGGCAAAAGCGAGAAATAGTATTATGCAGACCACGAATCAAATACGCAACGTTATAACCGACTATTTTATAGCAAACTCATTCGAATTTTCAGGCAGGCGTTCATTGGCCTGAACACACGAAAAGAAGCACTCTAACGAATATTTTCATAAACAAGATCTTTTTGCATGAAAAGTGTAAAAATAAAAAGCAAAATTCACTGAAACGTACGTCTGCTGATAGAGATGTGCGCTGTTGGCTCCACTAGGCACCATACTGCTCATGGATGTGATCGGACCGCCCTGCTGCATGTACGGTGTGCCCGGTTGACTTTGGGTCTGCGGAAAGGCGGACATCGCTCTTGGGTTGTTGGCATTGCTGCTTAGCGCTGACTGCGACGCAGAACGCATCATTTGTTGTTGTTGTTGAGATGAGGTGGAATAGATGGCTGCATTAGACGACTGAATTGCTGCAGCAGCTGAATAGTGCGACGTGACTGCCTGCGAGAACGGTGGCGGAGGCTCGATCGGGGTGGGGCACTGAAATCACGTAAAATAACACTGATAATAACAGTAGACGGTAATGAACGGCAACAAAAATTCTAAAGAATTCAGAAATTTAACCTAATTTAAAGAATTTTTTAAGAAATAGCAACGAAATTTCTAGAAAATAGAATCAAAAATTTCACGAAAACAACAAAAATATTTCGAAGAACAAGCAAAACGCACCCTCGAGTCCATCATATAACCGCCCGGTGAATTTATCGAGTGCTGCTGTTGAGGCGTACCTAAATTCGGATTACCTGCGCCCATCGCTGCGTTTCGATACATCATCTTGAATTATTATCATTTGTAAATCACAACAATTGGCAACGATATCAACAAATAATCACAACAACGATAATGATAAACACCTGGATTACCTGGTGATTATCCACGTAACGATAATAAAACAACAACGGCAAAAAAAACTCATAACATACCTGTTGTTGCTGTTGTTGAAACATACTCTGCGCCGCACCACTACCCATAGCCGTCTGCTGATTGCTGTTGCTATTATTGCCAAAATTGAAATTGGTGTTGTTCACGAACTGATTCAGCTGTTGAAATGGCGGTGATGGTCCACCGGGACCGGGCTGTTGTGGCCCAGTGCCTCCAGCCGCATGGTGCGGCATCATCGGGCCTGGTTGGCCCGCGGCTATCATACTCAAACCGGCACCCATCGGAGGGCACGTTCCCGGGCCTGCACCCGGTGCGTTGCCTCCGCCAGCAACTTGCATTGACTGCATGAGCATTTGTTGAGTGCTCGATGAGGATGTGGGCATGCCAACTGCACTGCCACCAGCGTACTGGTTATTTTGATGATGTGTCGACGACACCATGAAGCCTGCTGCCGCCGGGTTATTTGCACCTTGCTGTTGTTGCTGACTGTATGGCGATAGATGTGGCAATTGCGATGGCCTGAAATCTTGGCATTTATTCGCGGAAATAACCCTCCCTCTCAGTTACAACCTCAAAAGTTCTCACAGAGCCAGTACAAACCTAAATCAAAAACAAACGCAATAAAATGGTTCGAAATTTACCTTTGAGCTGCCGGCATTGCCATTGGTCTGAGTTGTGACGACTGCGGCGAAGACGGTATATGTTGTTGTGGCATTGTCGATGTGCACGGTAGCATATTATTATACATTGAGTTATTATTACTATTATTACTATTTATATTATTACCCAACATCATCATACCCTGTTGATTCATAGTCGCCGTATTCATACCGTACGGGACGTTATTCGATGTCATAAACGGACCGTTCGCACCCACAGGTAACATTTGACCACCCGCTGACATACAGGCCTGCTGCTGCTGTTGTTGTTGGAAATGATGCGGCGGCGGTGCCATATTGCTACCACACATCGGAGAACCTGAAATTAATTCCAGGTTTTGAAATATTTATGAAATTAAGTTTATGAAATTATTATTATTATTATGTTTACCTTGCATTCCAGCCACTGCAGCGTTCATATTGCTCACGTTATTATTAGCGTTGGCACTATTATTTGCAGCGAAATTATAACTGTTGCGATAGGTGGACGTGCCAGGAGAGAGGAAGCGTGGATTGATCATTGAAGATGGAGGGCAGATCGCGTGAGGCATATGATGGTGGTGGTGGTGTGCGTGATGTGAATGCGCACCGCCGAAGTGCCTCTCTGCCTTCAGCATCAAATACTCGGGTGGTTTATGGATCTTACGACGTTTCTGCCGCAGTTGCAACGCTTGCTGCACCACTTTCAACTGATCCGCATACGCTGACTGTGGTATGCGATAGTTTTTCACCTGAAATTCAGCAAAAAATAAACCTGAAATTAAGTTTTTTTGTTTTTCCGCTGCAAATCTGAAAAATCTCAGATATCGCGGAAGATTTTAGAGAATTATTCTGCAGGCATGCTCTGGGTACTACTAAAAAACAAACCTCAATCGGCAATGGATCCCCTTTGAAAATATCACCGCCAAACTTTCCGCTTAATGCGATTTCGAATTTTTTCGCATTTCCATACACCGGCTTCTCGCCCAACAACCTCTCCAACTTCTCGTCCTGAAATTATTTCAGGTCATCTCCAATGAGAGTGGAAAGCAAAGCAGACAACTGAAAAACACTAAAAAATAACAAAAATAATTGGTTTTTCAAACAAAGAATGAAATCCATACCGGTTTCTCATCTGTTTCCATTATATTTTTCAACGTTTGCTCCGTTTTATCCTCCGGCGGTTCTTTTTTAATATTGGTAATCAAATTTTCCGAATAATCCATTTCTTGTATCGTTGAATTACTGTTATTACTATTATTATTATTATTATTATTAATATTATTAGTAATATACGGTGTTCCAGCATAAGACTGCACGATGTACGGAGAGGCCAGGCTGGTTGCGTATATAGAATTAGGAGCGGTCGACTGCATCAAAATACTTTGAGGTGAAAACGGTTGTGACTAAAAATACTTATTATTATTATATTTCACATATCACTATATTATAATACACTTGTTATTATTATTTTGCTACAATAATAACATTAAATAACAATAATAAATAATAAAATAAACAACAAACACAATAAATAATAATAAATAATTCCCAACCTGAGTGGCATCCACACTCGGCGGTGTCGGATATATCATATAATCTCCCACTGACGGAGGTCCTCCGACTCTCGCCAACTACAACAAATAATAATTATTACATATACAAACATATACATTAATAATATACAATAAAAATATAATAAATAAGTATATACATTAATAATATACCATAAAAAAATAATTAATAAAGACAACTCACCAGATTATTGGTCATCGCGCCACCGCCAAACGCGATCGTCTGCGGTTCCACCCGTTCGTTGCTGGCTGGAGGCGATAGGTGCACTGAGTCATTCACTACCTTCAACATTTCATATTATTTATCATNATTATTATACATATAAATAATAATAACAAATAATAAATAAAAATACCTCCATCGGACTACTCGTATCGATCATGGCCACTGTTGATGGACTGCTGCAGTGATCGTTGAAATTATTCGTTCCATTACTATTATTATTATTTCCTGAATTATTATTATTAAATAATAAACGTACATTATCAAACCCAATATAAGTCACGAAAATAATAAAAATGAAATGGTCAATACCATGTGAATAAGTCTGCATATTGCTCCGTTGACTTTGACATGTTTCTGTTGATGAAATATTATTATTATTTACATTATTGGCGATATATTGCATATTTTTATTAGCATTTCTATCTTCAGTCTTCACTGTATCCAATTCAGACTCGACGTTCTCTTTTAAGAATTCCATATCACTTCCATACTCGGTATACCGTTCATCTTCCTTTAATTACAATTATAATAAATAATCATAAAGTATAAATGATGATTAATACAATTGCAAAACGCACCCCAATTTCCTTGGCTACAAACGAGACGTCCAAACTATCGATACCGTTCCATATTAACTTACGAGCACCGTTGTTATTACCCATCTTCAAACGTTGTTTTCGCCGGTTTCGCCTTTTTTTATATTCACAACCGTCGACCTGAAATTAATTTCAGGATTAAATTAATTGTATTTATTATTATCACTGCTTTTATTCAGCTGCAGGTTTAGGGAAATCATCGTAAATCAAGAGCGAAACGAAATCAAAAGCAACTCTCACCTCCTCACCCTTGTCCTGTCCCACCGTCTCCTCTCGTTCACTCGACTCGTTATAATAATCCACCTCCGCGCCCTTCACACCCCTCCTCGACATCCCCCTCTCCCCATATTTACTCCCATTACCCGTCTCGTTACCCGCCAACAATCTCCCCAAACTGTCAACTACATTCGCTGACATTTGGTTATTCGCATTCGCTGTAGCCACCACCGGAGAACGTGGCCTGCAAAATCAATGAAAACAATACTAATTTAACAAAGAATAAATTTAGTAATAATAATAATTACTATTATTATTATAGTATAATTATATTATTATAATATTATAATTATATTAATATAATAATTATTATATTATAAGTAGTAATAATAATTATTATTACTCCAAATAATAAATACAACAAATAAACTTGCACACCTGCTCGTTGATGGACTAATATTCTGGTATATTGGTTCCGATTTTACCAATTTGTCGTTACTGTTTACAAGATCTTGGCCACTGCCGCTGTTCACCTTCGGGCCCAACCTCTTTCGATTCACCTTGCGGTAACTGAGTCTCGACGACGACTGGGTCTCTATCTGCGGGATTGACGGCGATTCAGGGTATTCGTAACGATCACCTATAATTATAATAACAATAATAATACAATAATAATAATAATAACAATAATAATAATAATAATAATGTAAGATCTGAAACACACCCAGGTTTCCCATCTCAATTCTGCTCGACCGAGACGAACTCGAAGCACCAGCAGGAGTACACGACTGACTGCCACCACTGTTGCTGTTAGGGTTACTTACGTGCGATTCATGCACCCAGTTCGGTGACTGCAATGTCGCGCTCAGCCTTCCGTCCAGGTTGTCCTGCCCTACCAGCCCCGGACCATCACCTCCCAACCCCGCCAGTCGCTTCTCCCATTCCGGCGAACGGGGTGGCGACGGGGTTCGTGCAAATAGCGGAGACCTTCGATGAAATAATTCCAGGTTTGACCTGAAATTCGACCTGATCAAACAAAAATAGCAACAATAAATACTAATAACAAATAACGATAATAACGAACTGCACAAACCCTCGCGGCGAATCAGGTTTGACATCGTACGAAGCACCCGCAAATGAAAGACCACTCGTTGACGGTGTTGGCATAACGACTTGAGCGCTTTGACGGGACACTTCAATATTACTTCATATCACTTTAATCATTATCAATACTAACAATAATTTTAAAAAATAACGAAAATAACCACAAGACCAGTCCAAATACCCACCACTTTGCGGTGACATCAGCCCTGACTGCAATACAGATGTGGAAAATGATGTCGAATTACCATTTAAATTATCGCTTCGATACTGACCACTTACAGCCGCGTAATCACACTGTCTACACGAGCAATTATCACTCTCTTTCTCCTTTCGCCTCAACGCATCACTAAAATTCCATCTGAAATTCAACAATAATAATAATAAATAACAAATAGTAACAACAATAATAAACCATAACAAATAAAATTAATGAACAAAACAAAACCTCGTATCATCGTCCATCGAACCACTTGACATCAACAAGCCAATGCTACTCGCTTGAGGGGGGTGACGTCTCGATGAAGACGGCATGAAACACGCCTCTTCAAAGAACCTTCAATTTATATATAATAGTTAACATTTAATACTTATTATTATATAATATTATTACTTATATTATATACTTAATATATTTCGATATAACATTATACTTATTCATATTATACTTAATTATATAACAGTAATATTATATACTTATTAATAAATTATAATTATATAACTAAACTTATAAACACTTATTATAATATCCAGGAAATATATAATAGTACTTAATATTACATGTACAATAATATTACATAATAATAATAAAAAATAAAAACCTCTGTGCTGCCCGCGCACCATTCACCATACCGTTGTACATCAAATTTCTTCGTTCACCATTTTCATTCACCAATTCATTATCGATATTATTGTTATTAGTATTATTATGTAAATGTTTTTTATATTTCTTATGCAATTTATTCGATTTATTATTACTATTACAATAATAATAACAATTCGATGTTGATGTAGACGGCTTATTGATGCCATTATTATTGGCACTATTATTATTATTATTCATATTCATATTCAAATCCTCATCGCTCGATTCACAACCTTCATTTCTGTAATAAAAATAACAATTTAAATATAATACTACTAATAATAGTATAATAATAGTATAATAATAATAACTATAATAATAGTACAATAACACAGTAATAACAATAATAACAAAATATAATAACAACAATACAAACCTCAACAATAAATCATCACAAGCTTGCACAACAATCAGCGAGCTCGGGTACCACATATGGATACCATCCACGTCGACCAATACCATTTTTGGCAGTTCGTTTGACTCATTCTCCCTCGAATTCTCCTGAATAATTATTTATGTTATCATTATAAAATATACATATATATATAATATACATAAATATAATGTATAATAATATATATACATAATAATAATGTATAATAATAAATGTATAATAATAAATAATAATGTATGTTGTATAATGTATATATTACATAAATATAATAATAATAATAATATAATAATGTATAATAAATAATAACAACAAAAAATGATGCCAACCTTATTCTCGCCAACCCTCACTGTCGACTGAAATGCTCCAGTTTCGATGCCAGAATTCGGCAACGCGAAGAATTGTAACCATTCATTGTAGAGTTTATCGATTACCTCTTTATTTATTATATTATTATTATTACCATTATTATTGTTACAATAATTATTATTATTCATATTATTTGCTGTCGTCGTAGTATAAAAATTATTATTCATAGCCATATTATTATTATATCCTTCTCCATCATTCAAATTTGTTGAACCCATATTACTTTCATTACTATTAATATTACCCGTCCCAGTTGGACCCATATTTATACTATTATTCGTATCCATTGTAGATGCATAACCTGAAATCAATATTTAAATCACGCTCACTACTGTCGCATCCACCCTCCGTCATATTAAAGTCCTGATGTTAAAGTTTAAAATGACCAACTTAAATTTCGCCTAGGCGTCCCAGAGGCGGTTAAAATTCAAATTCAACTTCATAAAAAATTTCAACGGAACCTACCCATATTACCAATACCAGCAGCATTACCGGCACAACCGCTGCTCGCGAACTGATTCGCGTCCATATTCACACCCAAATTCATAGCACCACCCCCATAATTATTCCCGCTATTCATACCACCATTCCCATAACTATTATTCACAATAAATGGCTGTTCAGCGATCAAGAATGCTCGAATTGACCACGGTCCGAGTATAATCGGTTGTTTTTTGTGGTTGTTTAGGTGCTGTTTGGTGAGTTTGTAGATTGTCGGTTGGCGTTGCACACTCACACTCGTGCACACTGTATTCTCGCCGTGAACGAAGAAATTGAAACTTATGCCAGTTATATAACTGCAATTCATAACATTACTATCAACAAACAATAATAATNAATAATAATTAAAATATACCTCGGTGAGCAATGCATTCGATCAGCTAACGGTAAATCATATGGCTGCGTGAAATATTTCCCAATACGGATATAACCATTTTTCAGTAAATTCCTGCAATCATACATCACCAATTAAAACAAAAAACAACATTAAATAATAAAAATCACCAACCTCTCGATCAGATTATGCAACGCCTTAAAGAACAACGTCCTCGTCTCATACTGTATACCCGGAACTGACCAATTCCCGACTCCATCCTCAGCACCTGAACAACATAACAATAAACCACAACAAGCCTTTAATATACCTTTAATTACCATAATTAATTAATAAACAAACAATAAATGCAACACCACTATAACAACCAAAGCACTCACACGCCAAATTGCTAGTGTACTGAGCCAACGCCTCAGGTTCGTCTTGTGAATACCAGAATATCCACAGCTCTTTGATGACATCAATTCGATAGTCTGGCAATTGCAGTGTTGATAGCTGATTACTGGTATGCGTCGGTTGCCTCCTCCACGCACACAATATACCTATAATTATTATTATTATTAATTACCACAGTGATTTATAATGACAATAACAAAGAGTAATCTATTAAAAATAGGAATAAACAAAATGAAAATGAGCACAATAATGAATAGTAATTACCGGATTGTAGGCATTTTGAGTAGGCTTGTAGTATTGGATCATTCTCGACATTTGTCCATTGACGATTCGTTAAAGGCGTTGTGAGGCACTTCCATTTCAAACCGTTCAGTTCGGTCTGAAATTATAATTATTATAAACAATAAAAAAGAACAGCGAACACGATGGCATCAAACTGAAAAGAAACAGCTTGAGGGGTGAGGCAGTGATCGGGCCACTTAGCTATCGAGTGAACACTAGGGCACCACAAGGTTGTGCAGTATTTTTACTGCAGCCATAATCAGATACACCAAATGACGATGCCACCAAGCAACTATACAGCATCCAACCACACCACAATGCCCCACACAACCAATTATCGGTGCTGATCAATGAACTACCAAACGTTCAGCACCACTCTCGAACCCACAATACAGTCACAACCGTCTCTGATGCACCATCAAAAACAACAAACCACCTAATCACCACTCACCAACCAACAATGACTGATATGACACTGTCACCTTTTATCAGTCGTAACTGATGTGCAGAGACGCAGAGACAAAAAAACAGAGACAAAAAACGCACAGACACAAAAAAAGATCAAATTTCATCTGAGCGCGCGCGCTCGAACCAATTAAGATCAGTTCAAAAACAACGTCAAATCAAAATTCCCTCCCAAAATGATCAAAAAATTCTTTCCTTGCCAATTCACCTGAAAAAAAAGAAGAAAAAACAACAAAAAAGCACTACTGACCAGAGCAAAAACGTTCGTATGACAATCCTCCAACGTGCCACCGTTTGTTGGAGTTACTTTGGATGAGCTCGACATTATTGTTGCTGGCGAATTCGAATTATTACTATTTAATACACTGTTTATGGTCGTATCAATATTATCACGATTAATATGATTATTACTATTATTAATAACAGAACGGTGTTGAGTGGTTGCTGTGTGGCGATGTGCGCGCCTCCAACTCGCCGAGTACTTATCCCAAGCGTTTGAGGATGCCGTTACTCGACGCTTCTTTCAATCACCTCGTGCCCGATGCAATTCTAAATTTCTTTTTCAATTTATGGAAAATACGTTTCCCTGAAAATCTTCTCCACAAATTTCCCAAATTCTCACCAATTCTTCTCGTTTTTTCCTGCCCAAACGGCCAGCAATACCCCGACACTTCACACTGCAAAAATCACCGCCGCTGCACTCTTCAGCACTACACAGACAAATCCGAATACCGATCGTAATAATAACGCTATGTATATCAATAATATTACGAATAATAATAGTAGCAATAAATTATTATTATTATTAATTGTCGGTTGCAGCACAACACAAAATCAAATAATCCAATTGATTTTCAGCTGCAAGATCTGAGCCGTCTGAGCCAAATTTGAATGATGGCTTTGGCGCGAAATGAGTACTTTTTGGCGGCAGTTCGCAGCAGCCGAATGGCAGCAGCAGTAACAGTACGAATAAAAGCGGTTGCAACAAGAGCAACAATGCAGTGAAGTAGTTTGCAGCGTTTGGGTGATGTGACTTTTGTGATGAGTATTCATAAAGTTTGAGCACTTTTTAGGCGTGTAGGACGACGATGGAGTGACGGACAAACTCGATGCTGACAGATGCTGCGATGCTGCTTGCAAGCATTACGATGAAAATATCAATGTAAAGTTTTTATGTAGTGAAGTGAATATTGCGCTCAGAGTTTATAATAATTTGTTTGTGAGTTTGACGCACGGGTTATTTCGTTGGATCAGAAGTAATAATTATTATTTTATGAGAAATTCAATCTGAAATTGAAATCAGCGCTGAATTATTATAACGAAAGTAAAACTAATAGTGACAATAACACATGTGCAATAGTGGGTTCAATAAAACAACACATCATACGAACGCGAGCACGCGTATTTTAATCCGACAGATCGTACTAATCGCAACAATCCTAACACGAACATCACCTTAACAGCAACAGTAAAAATAATCATAATATAATTAATTCAATAACAATGATAATAGTGATGATAATACTAGTATACGAAAACAGTGAAAAGAATCGTTGCTTTATAATCATCATCATTATCAGATCATCTTATCAATTCATTTCACTTGATAATACTGCATAATATAAGATAAGCATAAGCAGCAGCGGTCTTTTAAGCAGTGTCTGTCTGCTCGTCGCAGTCTGCGCTGTTCTATTCTCGTGTCGTCTCGTATTGACAGCTGGCTTATTATTCGCCTACTTGGCTAGTTATTGCTATTGCTATATGGCACACTATCATATCAACATTCACTTCAAATGTTACGTGATCCATCCATCAATAAATACATTAACGCAAGCGCAATAAAGAATATTTGTAAACAAATTAGGTGTTCGCACGAATCGCTCTCGGACAACTACTTCTTCCAGCCACTACGTTCATTCACTACTTTTTGCTTGCAGCATGCGACATGATCGATCGGCGGCAAGCTTACGCTGTGCTGTTTCCATTGTATTCTGATTTCTCAACAGAATAAACAGACGAAATCACGAAAAAACAATGTGATGATCGGCGGCATTATTTCTCGAAACTGCCTCGCCCAGAATGTCGTCTACTCACCTCCAACTAATTCATTTCCTCTTCCTTTCCCATGTCTGCTGCCGCCGCCGCCGCCTATTACATTCTCTTCGCCAAAAAACACTTCTCTGCTCGTTTTGCCCAGACTACTGTTCGTCTCCTCTACACAACACAACATAATCTTACTCAGTTGGACGATGCTTCCTTCTTCTTGCAAGCTTCCTCGCTGTTAACAGCCAGCTGGCTGACTGGATGGCTAACTTTAGCACTTGCTTGGTGGAACGCCACCCGACTGGCATCAAGCAGTAGTTCCCTTCTATTCCTTTTCTCAAACAAACAATCACACAAAACAAGAGAGCATAACGACTGTCAAAGACCAAAAGATACGCGAATAGAGCGAGGGGAATGCACGTGAACACGACTAACAGAGAAAGAAACTGCCCTGCCAAGATTGACGACCGACTTGCTTTCAAAACTTGCAATTCATTTCAACACTTACATATAACACACAACTATTTAAACGAACACAACTTCTATCATCATCATCAGCAGCAGTAACAGCTCAATAATGCCTATCATATGATAACTTGGCAAATATCAGAGTGAATAAGGGCATTATTATTATTATTATCGATACATTCTTCATTATTTCTTTCTCGCTGTTATCTTTATGTCTACATCATAGAGCATCATCTAGAAGTCATACAACAACTCACCACAACCAGCTCTCAATGACACTTGTTCGTCGATTTGATTTGATCGCGTTTAAATGTCTCCTCAATNAAGTACGCAATCAGTAAAAGTCATACGGACGGACACACAACTAACGATATATGTTTACACAGCCAATATGAGAACAACTATTGTGCCTGCTGCTGCTACCGCTATGCTTTGTTGCGGTTGGCGAAAGGCGACCAGTTCCTCACCACCAAACAACTTCGAGGCCTCAGCCTTCCTTAAACAATCCTCAGTTTATCGCTGATCTCAACAAATCTGATTGTGAGCTTTAATCCACCGACCAATGAACACCACTTGAAAAAACAAAATCAAAACAGAAGATGCTTCGCACACGCGCGTGACAGTGGTATTTTTGGCGAAAAGCTACCGATCATGTCAGGCAGCTACCTCATTAAGGCAGTGTCACTTACCAACGCCCGCCGAACTTGATAAGCTAACTATCGTTCAAAATAGAGTCGGTGCGCAGTCAGCGGCGGAACTCAAATTGGCGGGAGGACGCGTGGGCGGAACGCACGCCGACGCCACTGCACTATTGGCACACGGCCAGCTGGTGTGACGGCGGGTGGGAGCAACGTGCCAAACGCAAGGCGCAGAGCGCCGCCGACCGCATTTTCTGAGTTTTTGGCCGCAAATTTTGAGCAGTGTACGTGTTTTCAGTGTGTACACCTGTTTGTGTTCGTGTTCGCGTTCAAATTTGTTATGTTTTCATTTCATAAACACATCATAGACTCTCACTCACTCATAGAAATATCCATACGTATGATCAACAATTCGAACAAAAATATTGCTACACGCTCAATCACACATCTATTCACATAGTGATTGCTCTGTGAGCGTGCCGCAGCAAAACAACACTAACAGTTCAACTACCTGCATTATTCATTCGTTCAGAACATATATGATACACAAATTCGCCTACCATTCACCTTGAATTACGCCTCATCCAAAGTCTAATCATGAGCAATCAATCACGAAATAAAACTGAATCACACAAAAATCATTTCAAGACATCGAACGTTCCTAAATTGTTGAGAGCAAAAACATCGTGGTGGTTTCCTTATTGATGTAAGCAGCACCTGACCGCAATTCAAAGTGCTTACTTTGAAAGCTTTCGCAATCGACCCGAAAACTCCAGATTGACAAGTGCATAAACCCCAGATTTAACTCTAATTAGCTACCATATAAAGAAACGCAGGGTACCCGGAATATATCTGGGAAAACCGATTCGTTTGAGAACGACTCTCTTAGTCGGCATAATCACTGATTCTTTTCTGTAGAGACAGAAGATGGTGACACCATTTGTCCACAACGATCATTCATTCATATACTCATCCTTCTTTCCTCTACACAAATACGGACTAACACAAGCTACAACATGCACACACAAACACATAAATAAATCTGAACGTTAAAATACTGCTAAAAAATCACTCTAAAACGTTTGTCAGTTCAGCAAGTTGCTCACTGCAAAACGATGAGATTACTTAACAATGGCAGCACTCAATCAATATAAAAAAACACCCTTCCCGCACCACTAAAAACAATCAATAGAATTAATATCAAAGAGACAATATCAACTACACTCATCCATGTACATGTACACACTCTTTACCAAATGCTATTCAATACTAGAAATCAACGACGCCATTCACGTATCAATAAACTATTAAAAGGAGGATTAAAGGCACGAATCTATTAAAAGAACTGAACATATAACTACTGCAATATGAGCAATCAATATGTACAAGTAGCAATATTGATGACATTATTAATGTTCAGTTCGCCGACGGTAATGCTAACACAATAAGCCCCAGACAAAACTAACCACATGGCGAGCACCTTGCATACCTCAGGTGCACCTTGAAATGGAACTGAAGCAGGCACTGAAGCGGATTAGGAGGAATCAAGCTGACCTTTCTGACAGATTACCTTTCCAAGTCTATAATGTACAAATTACCATCATACAACCACTGTAAATAAAATTTCCCTACGCGGAAATAAAAACAAATTCAAATTCACAGTTTGCCTGTAGCGTTTTTGATATAATATCACATAAAACTACTTATTATTATTATTATTGTTGTTGTTATTAGTATTATTATCGCAAATACTGATCGCTGATCGATATAATCATCTTTACTGCATTCATCACGACATTTCCGCAATGTTTTGGTGGGACCATATTATTACCGTGTGAATCATAAATATTATTATTATTATCATATAATAGCATTATTATTAATAGTAGTATCATGTTATCAGCATCAATCGTACACACCTTGGGGATTACGACGACATATGACATCAGGGAAAGTGAACAAAGCGTGCAAGATAACGCTATGGAAATGACTCGTAATAGGAATGATAACGCCAATATTAATGAGACGATACCTGGACAAAGCTTCACCTGAACACCCTCATACACCAACCCTAACGCTTCCACCTATGCAAGCATAATGTAATCACATCCAGTACTTGAGCAATAATTGAACCAGCGCAGTATCATTATCAATCGCAGTATCGATCGAATCGCATCTGATCAAGCACTGATCAAACCAAACACAAACAAAAGCACAAAGCGATAATTGAATGAATGCAAACCGCTTCAAAGCGACCAACAACAAAAAAAAACCACAAACAAACGAAAAGACGACGACGACGCAAATATTATAAAATGGTTCAACGCTATAAAACCATCCCATCGCATCGTATCCATCCATCCATCCATCTCATCTCACTTATCCATTCAAATCATATCAAATCGAATCAATGCTACCAACAAAACTGTTCATATAATGCTGCTGCTGCTATCTGTCGACTCACTCCGTCAATTCACTCTATCATCAATGTTAGATGTACACACATACATACGTCAATAAGGTACACGGCATCAAACACGGTTAAAACATCACATCAGCCTCACTCTCTCCTATTAATCCTCTTTCCTATCCCATCCCCTCTTCCCTCTACTCTCACTCCGTTCATCACCTTCCTGCTAGCCGCCTATTTCATACGGACTAATCGATGCCTAGTTTATACTCGTTTATCCCCTCATCTATACTCAATATGTCAACTATTTCAGTAGTGTTATAGCGTTATCGCATCACCACGTCTATTCCACCCTCTCTCTCGTCGTCCTCCCACAATACACCTTTTTATCTTTTCCTCATCGCGATCTCTGATTTCGCCTAATTCTCTGCATACCGTCCAAACCCTATGTGTACTGTCGAAGTACCCTCATACCCTTTATCCGCCCTATATAGTAAAATTCGTTGAACTCAAAATTCGCGCCGCATACACTATCTTGCCTGGTCGCTCTCATCTCCGCCCAAGCCTAAGCTGTTCACTTTTAGAACTTATCGTACACACCAGCTAAGGAAAGCGAAAAGGAAGAAAATAATAGAAATGACATCCAAATCGGATCTACCACCTTCCCCTGTCGGCAAAAATCTTCGGGTTCCAGCGTAGGCTTAAGTTCTCACGACAACGAGACGTTCAGGTCTCGCGAGCCAAAAAAAAATTATGACACAATACAATTAACAATCGAACACAGTCAAGCGAACAATAAATCAATAACACTATCAAGCAACACTCACATCGATTTCTCAACACTGCTCTATCAAAACGACTAAAATTTTTTTGAGAGACGCGTCTTTTTTTACATTACAAACAACATCCGTAACGCCATATCTTACACAGATCATTGGGCAAATCATAAATTCATCATTAAATGTGAAATCAACCGCAAAACATCGCACAAAGCGCCCAGAAATTTCATGAAAAATGAGAATTCCATAGGAATTACACAGTTTTTTCCCGAAAGTTCACCAGACGTCTGCGACCGCGAAACTTCGCACATCGGTTCGCAGCACAAATTCGAATTGAATTCACATCTTAAAACGTTACAGCTTCAACTCGAGTGCACGACAATGCGAAACAAACAGAACGTAACTAGAGAGAAGATAACGTTAATACAATGTGAGAGGAAAATAAAGTAAGTTTAAAAAATGTGTAAAACATAGAAAAATATCAAAATTCGCAGTAAAGACTGCAAAAATTCAACCGATCATTAGCAACTATTCAATATTAATTAGAAAATGTTTACAATTGATCACAATAATCTCATTTTGTTTTAAAATCTCCAACTGATCAACAATTCAAATGTATATTCCGTGAATTACACGAAAATAATGTACATACTCACATTCAACTCTTTATATCACAATGAAACTTTCAAAATTCAATACAATACTTTATTACTTTATTCATCGTACTTTACTTAAATACTTTATTCACCGTCAGATATGTCAACAATACATTAATCTAAGTCAACAAGCAGTTCACTTACTCCGTATAAGTCATATTCTTATCAAAAAATTAGACATATCCTCCAAAATTAAAGGTTCATCTCTTTGAAATTTGTGACATATGCTCACTGCTCGAGGCCATGTCTACTATTCCCCTTCCTCACCCTTCCAAAAGTATGTGAAAACCTTACATAAATTATATTATGTCAAACTTATACAACCGTAACATTTTCAACAGCACACAAACAAACAAACAAAAAACAACCAGCAGAAAAAAGTGTGCGGTAAAAATTAACTCCGAAATTGAATCAATAAAATTCCATCGTTTCATCCAAATCATTTCGTATTCCATCGGCTGAAGCGATAAATTCACTCTGGCCGATCACATTATCATCATTGCCTTGAGATTCTGCAATTGTCAACAATAAATTATCATTATTATTGCAATTATTATCATTTGTTCTTTTTCCTATTATTGACTGTTCATATCATTACTATTACTGTAATAAAAAATAAAAGTACCATTCTGCGGCATATTCCGTGAATGATCCTCTGCAACGGCACCCTCCTCCATGCAATCTTCGCTTTCTGTGTACGGACAGAAATTTTCACAGATTGTCGATTTTTGTTGCTGCTCTTCAGTGTGAGATAGTGACACTGCTGCAAATAAAAGCACCGGCTATGAATATTCTTAGAATTATGTCAATACTATTGTTATTATTGAAACAATCACTGAATCACCATTACCAGATGTCGCATTCTCTTTCATCACAACGAATTTGTTTCTATGTTCCATCTTACACGACTGATCCGTACGTTCGACTGCGTGTTTCACCTCATCTGCAATTTAAAACAATGACACAAAATTAGACACAAGCCACATCATAGCCTGGCTGGCTTAAGCCCGAAACTGAGTGCTATATCAATATATATCTAATAATACTGGAATCGGCCAGGCTATCGAACGTTGTTGACGTTGCTGGCCACAATGCGTTTCCAATCAGTCCTCGACCTTGCTAATAATATCTACTAATAATAATAAATAATTGTATCTAATCATAATAGTAGTATACTAACACTAACCGCAATAAATAACAATAAATTCAAAAATACTGTTGGTCTCGAATGGAAATTCTGTGCGCGCGCGGCACCGTGCAGCGATGGGTGGAGCTTACAGCCGCGCTGACGGCGACGCTTAGGCGTGTGCCGCGGCTGCCAATTAAGTCCCACCCGCCGTTGCACGCTGCCCCTTGCGCGCGCGCTCTCTACTCGGCACGGTATTTATGCTCTAAGGCAGTAATTTTAACGCTAGTGATGAAATTAATAACAAAAACGCGAACCGATAAAGAAGTGCGCTCTTTGAAAGGGGGTCGGCACGGGCGTATAACCGAATTCGGGTGAATTCGGCGGCGTGGTGTGCAGGAGGAGGAGATTATCGTCGAGATTCAGCGCCGATGTGATCTCTTGGAACGACGTCATATTCGGAGTAATCGTCAGATTATAGGCCGCATCTGACTCGTCGTTCGCCGTCTGCTGCGAGTCCTTGCCAGACGACTCCAAACTGAAATTCCACTCAGCTCCACCTTTTCTTGCAATTTTCAGTTGCGAAATTACTAGTGAGTAAACAAAAGGCGGCGGGTCGGACTCAAGTTTGGTGCCAGAACTCAAGCCCCGTCGATCGCCACATCTACTCTCTCTCACACGCCGTACGTATAACAATAAGAATAATAAAAAACAAACAATGGCGCTAATAATGATAAAAATAAAGATAATAAATAAAACCCACGCATTATAATTCTGATGATCGGGAAGTGCAATGTTGAAATGACCATTAAAATCGAAATCAAATGAAGACGAGCTCGTGTGACTGCTTGCCAGCGAAGATATCGACGACGAGGATGAGGAATTTTTTATTGTGTTCTTGTTATATTTATTATTATTTCCATTTGTTACTATACTATTGCTGTTATTATTATCACTGTTGATATTATCGTTTAAGTTGTATATTTTATGATTATTATCGAGTAGTTCCAGCATTAAATGATCGCCGAACCGTTCAGTGCCCGCTGATTTCGCGATTGATTCGATATTTTCGCGCATTAGTTCACCAAGAATCTGAAAATGTGTTAGGAGAATGGATTCCACTGCGAGCTATTGTGAGCGCGTGTGCACACCTACAATTAGCCGTAAGAAAAAAATGGAGAAGCGAAAGCTCACCGTAATATTGGGCAAAAACAAGAGAATATTGCCGAATCTGGCGGACGCAATTTGCTTGGGATGTGTCTCGCGTACAACGTGATAGAACGTCTCCTGCAGACGATCACGCATCTCACTGATCTGCTCTTGTGCCTCCTCGGACAACTTCTTCAGATCTTAATTCATCATCATTGCTACAACACTTGATTTCGAGCAAATTCTCCCAGCCATCCGCGTTGGAGAGTCGAGCCCGCCAAGCACCACCCCTGAACTATCGCCGACATCAAATCAACTCAAAACTTACACGGATTCAGAATGATGATCGCTTCGAACAGCGCAATTTCGTGATCGTTGAAATTCATATTGCGGAACGGCTCAACCAGTTCATCGAACGCTCTTTCTATGAGTCGATTCGATAGGTGACTGAAATCTTTTCATGCGTCACAGTCAGGTTGATGATGATCGCACGGATTTTTAAGCACTGAACCACCTGAATTACTGCCTTAAACATCACGTCTCCGTCATCACTGTGCTCGGCTGGGCCGGGCCAGTGCTCTGAACAACGAAGGCGAGGATATTTCTGTGTGAGATTTTGGTTCGGTCTGGTGGCGTTTAGCGATACCACCGGCACAAACTTCACCCACACAACATTCACACCGTTTACTATAGATTAATGCAACGCAGCTGTCGTCTAAACTTAATTACGCACCCACCTCCAATAATGAATGAATGAAATTCAAAAATCGAACACAAAAAATAAATTCCCACTTACTATGGCTCCTCAAACACTTCACTCGCATTTCGCGGAACGTAACCAAAGTTACACAAACACATTATGTTGTCTGCATTAACATTATCGCTGTTGCTATCACCATTGATATCATTTTTATTACCATTATTATTATTTATATAATTCAAAACTGTTGCAGTTTGCACACAAAATGAGAATATTGTTAACGGTGCGTATGCATTTCGTATTAATATTAACTGAAAAATGCTTTTTTAAATATTATCTCTCAAACAGAAACCAAAAAACTGACCTTAAAGAGTACAATAATAATACTCAGCAACAGAATAATAAGCAACCTTATCACGGATCCTCTTCAAGTCCATAATATCAAATAAATTATTTATCCAGTCAATTACTGCAATTAGTCGTCGATGTGCCACTGCGGGCAATTCGTCATTCTCCACTTTACGATATGCCTCGTAGCGGATCTAGATGGACATACACATACACATAGATTAATAATGAAAGAGCAATGGAAAGACGGATGTGTAACGCTTCACGGAAAGACAAGATAAAAAATGAGGAACTACGTTCGATGACCAAAGTGAAAGACATAGTAAACGAATTGTATATCAGTAAAAGAAGATGGGCTGGGCACATAGCGAGAATGAATGATAACCGTTGGACTAGTCGAATAACGCAGTGGATTCCAAGAGGAGTTAAGAGGCCCCTGGGCAGACCACGAATGAGATGGGATGAACCGCTTGTCAGAATGCTTGGTCAGGAAGGGAAAAGGTCTGCTCAACAAAGAGTAACATCGGGATCGGTAGACCTGCGCCCACATAGAGAGCGAAGACAGGTCGCTAGGTATTAATCTATACTATTTGCTATTAATGTTGTATACACGAAGTATCATCATTATTGTCAACCATAATAAAAATCCTTCAAGTAGCAATTGTGTGAACAGACCTCGGTACGTTTACCTTTCAAAACTGATGCATCCCGTAAAACATCCACCAATGAAACACTCTTCAGGGGGTAGATGATTTTGGCATTCTCGTGCGTGTCACCTTTACTGACCTGAAATTATTTTCGAAATTTTTTAGGAATGCGACCTAAAACTGTCCAAACTTTTGCGTCATCGCTCCGTTCAGGATGTCTACAAATGCACCAGAGATGCATAGGTTTGGCGTAATGTCCACCGTACATCGCTCACAAACGACCGCAACCAAACGCCACAAAAAACAAGCCCCGCCCACCCGTCGTTGGCAGATTCGCCCCACAAACCCTTTTTCCGAATCCGATTTCACTTTATACATTTTATTAAAAGTAATAACAGTAATAATAGTAATAACAGTAATAGTAATAGAAACTTCGAAGTGGAATCAGTGTCTATATGAATGAGAACGTGATTTCGATGTATAACGAATAGGTACTTTTTTACTTTGAGGAGGTCGCAGGCGAGCATGCTCGCATGTAACAACCGATGCCACGCCTACTGCGCATGGCCTCAGCCTCATCTAAGCGTAGCATCAGATCACAACGAGGGCTAGCAAACGGCTTCAGGCTCAGGCTTAGACTGAGACTACGCTTAGGCTGAGGCCACGCACAGTAGGCGTGGCCTCGGTCCACGTGAACGCATCGTTCATACTGTGCGTGCGCATATGTGTATAGTTGTACGCGAGCGTGCTCGCGTGCGATCCCCAAAGTAAAAAAGTGACAACGAATAAAAATTGACAATTGACGGCAGGCACGTAACGAATTTTTTAGCGATATGAACGGAATTTTTTAACGACAGCTGCAATCTTAACAATTGCAATTAACGGAAACGAATCAACGCAGGTGTGTGGCATCAATCAATAATCAATAATCAATGGCAATCAAATGACTCACAATCAGATCGACATTCATGATCTGCATGAGTGTTGTTCTCAAGTCGACCGGTAATCGACGCATCCACTCGTCGTGCACCACCTGGAACTGGCTGTTGACTCGTCGTTGAAGCAGTGAAGCGATACCTGCCATACCCCCACTCCCGCCGCCAATCGCCTGACCTCTGAAGCCAACTCCCTTACACTCCTCGCCGTTCCACGATTGCTTCTGCTGCTTATGTCGGCGAGAGCGCCACTCAAAATGACGTCCGGTCGTGTCTCGATCCGGTCGGACTGCTGAAAGATTCCACCATTTCCTAAGGAACATACCTGAAATGCGGCCTGACCGTAAATGATAAATGCTGAATTACCTTTTGGATCCATTCCGACTTCCAAACATCGTTTAAAACGGCAATAACGACATGAATTTCGCTCATCTGAAACAACAATTAAAACAATAATTACAATACAACATGTAATAACATTGTATAATAATAAATGCACTAACAATAAACAACAATATTAGTAAATAATAATAATGACAATGATAAAAACTATTCAAAAAATAAACACATACGTCTGTCAACAATACAGTTGCCTTGATGTCTGCACGTATACTCAGTAGGCCGTTTCAGTCTGAATTTTACGTTTGTTACTTTCCGACGATAACTGATGGCAACAGTGATAGGTTTGGCGTAATGTCCACCAAATATCGCTCACAAACGACCGCAACCAAACGCCACAAAAAATAAGCTCCGCCCACTGGTGATAAATTTCAAAAAAACAACAAAAATAATATTAAACAAATAATCAACCGACGTTCTCCTAAAGAAGCCCTTACACCCGAAACACGTCACAACGCCGTAATGCATCCTCGCAGGTGCATCACCACACACTCGACACGTCTCCAAATTGCTCATCTGCACCGCAGTTGAGAGTCCCGTCCTCATTTCTGTACATTTGTACAACAATTTTTGTATTTTTTAATAACAATTTTTATATTTTAAACAATAATTTCGGTACAAAACTACAGCTGCAACTCAGATATAGCCCGCTTCTCCTTTAAAATACTGACATTCAAATAATACAAATGACTGCATGATTCACGCATAAATACGCTAATTAAATAAACCGAAATACTTTCTCAGAATACTTTCTGAGAATATTTCTATAACATATACTTTGTATTATAGTTCAACTATAAAGGTAACAATAATAAATATAACGAAAATAAATACAACAATGAAATACCACTATTTTGAGAGATCTGTAGATTATTTGCGGACGAGCACGAGGCAGACTGCTGTACAGGATGATCGAGTAGGGTCGGTTGCAAATTTGATAAACTCTTCATGTTGTCATTGCTTTGGAACAGTTATTATTTATTATTATATTTACAGTAATATTACTATAAATTCAAAACAATAATACTAACCATAATAATAGTTCTAAGAGCTTATTAAAGTAACAACCATAACAATGATAGTATTAGCAACAATATTTATATTAAATACGAAAACACCAATAATAACAAAACGACACATTGACAAAAATGTCGGCAGTGTGAAGTGAAAACGTGTTCTCAGCGATATTTAATTCAAAAACGAGATTGTTGTATCAATGTTTATTTTTATACAATAATAATATATATGTATAGATATTAACTACGCACTGATACTTATATATTTATATAACAACAATAATAAATATTATTTTAGATACATTACTTATCGACAGCTATCTGACAGTATCAATTTATCAGTCGCTTATTACGCAGACACAGCAGTTAAAAGTTTTTATTGATGTCACACCACATATTTACAAACATACCAGTTTAATACTTAAAATAGTTCAACTGTCGTTATGATTATGATTCAGTGGTTTCAGGGTTGATAAGTTCAACTGATCTGTATCATTCTCACCCTTCTTATCACCGCCAGCGTTCTCATTCTTGTCGTCGCTATTTCTCCTCGTCAACAATAAAATTTTCTCAATATTGATGGCTGGCATCTCGGACAACAATGCACACTGCAGTCCGAGCACATAAGCCATCAACAGACGCACAAAACATTGCGGAATCAGCATCGAAACAACACCTCTGTATTCGTGTGGAAACTTCAATTGCAGATACGTCGCAAATATCACTGGCATGTGACTCAAATAGACCTGAAATTCAATGAAATTCCTCACTTCACTTCGTAATATTCACTCCAAACTCATTTCCAAATGTAAAAAGTGTCCAGGAAATTTCCAATTACTGAACGAAAATGAGAAAACTTACTGAATAACTCAAATTCGAAAGTGGTATAAAGACGCGGAAACTCAGAAATGTGTTAACCCATTTCGCATAACCACAATGACATGCGAACAAAATCCACGCCACCGATACGGCGTATGCACATCGATGAACTGCTCCGTAGAGCAGATAATATCCAGGCCATAACCAATCCTGCAATACGACTTCAATTGCAATTTCCTCAATTCTAAATTTTACACTATCAAAGTTTCAACCACGTTCTACCCAAACACTGCTGTTGTATCTCACATTCAGCTCACCTGTAGTATCGGGTAGAGTCCAAAAACGGACGCGACGCCACAACAGATCGAACTTGTCCATAAGACGATCAAATATTTTCTGTCGATGCAATCAAGTCCGAACTTATCTTTATTCGCCAAACCATACCCCAACGTAAGACCGATTATGTAGGGGCCAATTCGATATTGCGGTTTAATGTACATCTCAGTGAAATGCTGAAATTTTGAAAGAAATTTTATTTTTCAAGTGAGAAATTTATCTTTCAAACAGAAAAAAATTTTCTAAAATATTTTTGTGTTTGAAAAGTAAATTGGCGCGGTGTGCCTTACGCTTGGCTACCCTATCCCATCACTAATGTCACACCAACGCAAAACCACGCCCTCACGCGCATTGCGCGTGATTCGCGTGCCAACGCGCAGTGCGCGCGAGGCACGCCGTTCATGCGCATTGCGCGCGGGGGCGTGGTCTTGCGTTGGCGTCACATTGGTGATAGGATAAGGTCACCAAGCTTGCAAGCTCCGCCCACGCGTCCCGTACGCATCACACGCAGTTGCCAAATAAACTCATTCAACTCGCAGAATCGTATAATAATAGATAAATGAACAAATAAAATTAGGGTACTTTTTACTTGGGGGGGGGTCGCACACAAGCACGCTCGCGCATGCCACGCCTATTGCGCATGGCCTCAGCCTAAGTGTCACCTCAGCCTCATCTAAGCGTAGCCTCAGGTCGCTCGATGTCACAACGGGGGCTAGCAAGCGAGTTCAGGCTTAGGCTTAGGCTGAGACTACGCTTAGGCTGAGGCCATGCGCAATAGGCGTGGCCTCGGTCCATGTGAAAGCGTCGTTCGTAGTGTGCGAGCGTATGTTTTTATCATTGTACGCGAGCTTACGCGCGTGCGACCCCCCCCCCCCCCTCCCCCAAGTGAAAAAGTGCCAAAATTAGTAACCTCCATAAAATTTCTGTTGAAGATCGGCGGACGGTTCCATCCCAGTTGCGTCGGTGGTAAATTATACGCCCACATTGCGCAGGCTCTTAGCACACTCGACAGAGCTATTGCCGACAGCGAGACGGAAAAACCGCATCTCGCGGATCGCAGAAATGCCAGCAAAAATATCGGTGACACCAAATAGAACATAAACTCAGTACTAATATACCTGAAATATTTCAGCTGCTCATTATTCATCCGAAATTGCTACGTATTTAACTGTCAACACCCCTCAACACCACATGCAAATACGCTGTCGAATGGTGATCCAACTCAAAACCGCTAAGAAAATGACGAAAACAAACCACGTCCATCCCATGCAGCTGTTCTCGAAGAAGCTGCTCACGAACAGCAAATTCTGCCACCACTGCCCAGCACACTGAACGTACGGATCCAACGGTGGCCACATTCCATGGAAATGCAGATTTGTCATAAACATAACGCCCAACAACGTGTACAGGTACGCAGGCCATAGTCTTATCACACGATGACGATAAAATCTCAGCCAATAACCACACGAAAACAGTGTTGGTCGAGCGTCTTCTCCTGCAATTCAGTGCTGCTAAAGACCGAGAAAAGGAGAACTCCGAAAGGGAGGGGAAGAGGTCGGTCGGTAAGCTGATACAGCAGAAGAATGAAGCGACACAAACAACAGGTAATGTCTGCAAATTATGAGATATTTTGCGCACCGAAAGGGTGAAATAAACCCATGTGCTGACACTTCAGTTGTTTTATTAAGCGAAATGAGCACTGTTTCATTCAAGTGGACGTCCCCAGTGTTTTGAATTTCAAAAAATTGCAAAGAAATAAATTCTACCTGACGAATTGATCTTTCTGAAAAACGCATACGCGTTCACAGTTCCACCCAACACCAAAAATGTATCGACAGTTAACAAAAAATTCGAAATCCATTGATTCAGAAAACTTTTCGCGATTGCTTCGCGATACTCGTGTGGATTTGCGAGATACGGCTGAAATGTTTTATTTGCACACGTGCAATTTTCATCAGGTAACTGCTGTAAAAAATAGCACTAGCGCTCAACCACCCTGCTCACATCAAAAAATGAACACTAACAGTTTGGCAACTTATTGATGCTCATTTTTGGCACGTCGTGCCATCCACTCTGGTGGATGGCACGATGTGCCAAAAATAAACATCAATAAGTTGCCAAACTCTGGGCACGCGCAACAAAAGTGAGTCTTCTTACGACAAATGCATTGTAATAATAATAATAATAATAAGAGCAATAAAAACAATAAAAATATAACGCAAAATAAAAAAGAATAAAAGATAACCACCTCAATCCACGCAAAGGAATGCCCAATAACAATCCAAACAATCGTCAAAAAACGTATCCCAAACATACAAGTTATCATCGAATTGTTATTACTCTTCTTATTGTTATCAGCCTTTGGCATTCTGAATAATTTCGGCAGAGTTCTCTTCAACGAAAACGACAAAAATATTTCCATTAGAACGGATCTGCAAAACAACTTAAACAATGCGAAAACTATCGAAAAAACAATACATAATCACATTAAATAGCAGAACAATGAAAATCGTAATAACTGTAATAGAGCTGCGATCGTTTATTAAACAGCAAGCTGAGCGGACTAGAAACTGCTGGAGATGACCTCGGAATAACTGCCCTGGAGAGATACGGACCCAAAGAACGACGTGTAACTACAGAAACAGTTAAAAACCAACTGCGCAGTAGAGCCGTTGCACCGCTGGTAATCGCAAACTGTTGCCAATGTAACGATGAAAATTAGCGATAAAATAATCAGAAACGATACGAGAGGCACCGCCTTTTGGTACCACTCTTTAACGTGTCTCGATCCAATGCATAATGATTCGTCGATTTCAATCGGATCACTTCGGTTTGACGGCGATTTTGATCGAATATTATTTTTGTAAGAATTTAGTAACTGAAATACTTTTTATATCGATTGAAGTACTCTTTGCAATTACAAATAATAGCAGTAATAAATCATAATAATAATAGTAAACAACAATAAATAACTGTTACTAGTAATAACAATTAACGACTGTAAACAATGACAAATAATTGAAATAAACTCACCAAAATATTGTCTCGGTGTTCACAAACTGTCGGAATACATATCGTGAATACAGTTTTTTCGGCCACTTTATCGTTTGAATCGTAACCGTAGCAATAGCTGAGTGGATACTCCGATTTAGAGTATTCCTTCTCGCCCGATACTTTCAAACACTTTAACATTTTGTGTTGCTACAATTCACATTTCACTTCTGACCTTTTCAAATTTATAATTAAACTACAATTTATTGATACCAAAATAATAATGACAACAATAGTAATAAATAACAGTGAATGAACTTACAAATGCACTATCAGTAATGAGCTCATTATATTGGCCATACCCAAACGATTGAATGTAAAAATCACGTTCAGCCATAATACTGTCAAATGAGGAGAAATATTTTGGAATCTGAAAATGTAATTTATTATTATCAATAATTGCTATTATTTTTAATTACTACTGTCATGAGGAGTTAAATTATTGTCGATATTCAACTTCAATATACCTTTGTAATCGCTGCATAACAGGACTGTGATAAATTATGCAGAACACCACTCCCCATGATTTCTTCAATTATTATGGTTGCATTGATATTATTATTATTATTGTTATTATCAGTGCTGTTCAGATAAATGTTCTGATCAGAACTACATAATACTTCAATTATACAACAGTGTACAATAATAAACAATAGAGTGACATTGTTACTGTTTCCAATAAGCATGATCTGAATAAAATAAGAGATATAATAGACACTTGGTTATTGGTTGAAAATTAATTATACGAATGTATATAAATGTATGTGTAAATGCACAACTTTATGCGCATGCACATACCATTTGTCATATTATTGAACAAGTTTCGATCCCAAAAAAAACCGGTCTTGTAATTTTACGTCTTTGATCGATGAATGATGCGGCGAGCATGTTGCATTCGTCATTTGATGCGCTCTTTAATTCCTTCCACTTTCACCATAAACACCTAGAAATACACCGATTCCCACGAAAATACTTATTGAACAGGTGACAAATAGAACGTTCAAATAAAATTTACAATTGAAGTAACGATTCATCCAAAATTTATTCTTAAATTTAAATAATCATCAACAATCTAAATCCACAACAACAACAAAAAGTACCAGTGAGCATTACATGATTATGAAAAACATGATAGTATCATGAAAAATCTGAAAACAAAAGCAGATATCACTGATAACGAGACTAGAACGACGAGTAATGAAGATAATGATACCTTCATTACAAACGTAAGTCGAAACAATATATTTCGATTCATTTGAAATAATTAAAAGGAAGATTTGAGACGTGCCCAGCTCCACTTAACCGGAGAAACCGGACAACCATGAACCTTAGTCCTACAGCCCGCATATCATGATTACACCTGGCAGATATAAAAGTATCTCGAGGAACAAAATGAACGCCAACATTTAACTTGGCGGTTGGTTGAATTCGCTGTGAGAAAATTCGAGCGCATTTTCAAATAGGGTGCAAAATTTTGACAGTTTTTTGCCTATAATTCTGCCGAGAATGCATCAAATTGACAGTGTACCTATCAGAAATATCCAGAAATAGGGCCCAAACCCAACCTGAAATCGAAATCTAAAATAATCCAACGCTGAACAAGTTTCAGCTTAAAATCCATATTTGCACGTAGGCAAAAACACGTTTTGCCGACCCCTCACTTTTCTGACTTTTCAGTTAGCAAATCGCAGGGTTAGCCGCCTTTTGGCAGTAAGCCAAACTGCGTCGATGTGAGCTGTGGTGCGTCGGCGGTTCATTTTCAATTTCAATCGTAATTTCTCAATTAATTAGCGATAATTATGATGTGCGCATAATTGTATTCGTATTTTTTGCAGTAATTATTGTTCCGCATATTCTGTTCGTTAAGTTGCGCCAATTTGGTGCTCATTAACGCGATTTGAACCCCTTTAGAGACTTTAAAAGTACTTTAAAAGTATGTTGTACAAAGTACTTCTGTTGTAGATTATTTGAACGTTCAATTTGAAGCTCGTTTAATGAATACGTTTGCAAAAATCGCAGCGTTTTTATCGATGGGCTCAAATTATTTATTATTTATACCCTCTAGTCCTTGGTTCTCTTGCTCTTATTTCTTCTGATGCGTCATCACAAAAATAAACATCATGCACATTTTTTAAATATATTTGGAATTTATCTTGTTGTGATTCATTCCATGCGGAAACGCCATTTTGGCCTAATCAAACAGCAAATCGTACGGAAAAGCAGCTCAACAAATATTTGGTCAACAACGCATAAAATACACAAATAGATGCATTTGACTTATTTGCCACCCTCGTTTGTGCTCTAACTCTGAGCCTGTTTCGCATCCAAGTCTTTCTTGTGATCTGCTATCTTCATGACAATCCCCCCTCCCGCTCCTAACCACTTTTGGTTTATATCAAGCAAATTTTTGTTTGATGAAGCGTCTAGCTGAATGTGGATATGCATCATGCAAAATACCTAATACAAACATGTTTGAATGATGTCTGTCTAGCATCATGATTATTCTTCTTCTTCTTACGTTTTTCCATTGTCGTAAAAAGGAGAGGAATCATGTTGTTAGCTCAACAACAAACGACTGCAGCACTGATGATCATTCAATTCGGTAGATCAATTTTATTTTCACAATTTCATCGTTTCGTTGATCTCTGATCCACTCTTTAATCAGGTTTAGGGTCAGATTCACTCTCTACTTTCCTTTCTATTACAGCAGTGTTCTCACTGGGCTCAAGCGCTCGTTCCGAGAGCCTTCTTGGCTTAAATGCTTTGAGATTGTTTGGAAGCGCAAACGGCAGCCGAACAGCATCACAACAGTTTTATCAAGTCTCCAGTGAAGCAAACGTTAGTGGAAGATTCGCCGTCACAAAAAGCAGTTGTCCAGCTCAGATGTTTGAGGTGAGTGGAGTTAATTGGTAGCCGCTTGAGTTCAGTTCAATCAATCATAATGGGCTGTACAACCGTTCAGGTGGTACACCAATGCTATCGCAGCTATCTACGAGCCTATAAGATCGATATTGGATCGTCTGGAAAGTTACCGCCTATTGGCGTATATTCGAAAGCAGTTGGAAACACTGAGCATGTGGACAGTTTGTGCAGGTTTGCAGCAGCAATATCCTGAAGCACTTCATCTGAAAACATTAGTAAAGTGAAGATTTGGAACTTCTTTCACAACTTTCGAGGTGTTCTTTTGCAGACAGTACGACAGTTTGCATAACTGCATCCAGTCAAATGATGTTCAAACGTCGACGTTAGAATGCATGAATCTGAAAATGTTCGAAGCGTTAACCTTGCGCTATGAAGACGCCATCCACTATATGATCAACTATGCAGCATACGAGTTCGCATGCAGTGAAGGCTATAAAGGTTAGCTGACGATTGAAAATCTTCTGGTGATTCAATCTCTTCAAAATTTTTCGTTTTTTTTTTTAGTTTTTTCAGCGAATGAGCAATGTTTCAAAGTCACCCTAACGAGCAAAACAGTGGAGAAGGAGCTGCTGCGATGTAAACTCATACTGATACAAGATGATCCAATAGGCACTTGTCAGTAAGTGAATATAACATATAATCCGCCCCAAAAAAATCATCCCAGTTTAATCCGAGCGCCTCAGACTTAAGGTTTCGTTGTTTGTTTAAAAAAATCACACTCCCAGTTTGCCACACCAACTTGATAGTTTTGTCCGCATTGTTCAGTTTTATCGTGTTGTATTTTCAATCAGCAATAAGTGATTTCAGCTCATATAAAAAGGATGCACACTGTACGAGTGAGGTATTTGGTGAGGCGTGTGGCAGAGTTGTTGGCCGCGCAATGTGCGAGCTTATGGTTCATTTGGGGCATTATTTGGCAGGGGTGGAAAGGTCGTGCTTGCACGTTCTGAACGCCGAATGCAGTCGGTACTCTTCAGCTGCACACTCGACGACGTGTTTGATCTCTGTGCAAATCTTGTTTATTTTGATGACTATTTTGTGGCAGTTTCAGACAATTGGTGTTTGATCGAAGTCATTGACCTCTCCCTGATTAACATCATATGTATTAATAAAGTTAATAAAAGTTATAATAATAATGACAATACATTCAAGCATTAAAATGACACTGGTAATGACATATATGCACCATTCATACATAACAAGTCAAGTACATGAGGTATTTGAATAATCGATTTGATCGCTGCATCGTGTTTCCCTGGATAATCATATTTCAGCTGATTCCTCCATCCCCCTCCCCCCCCCCCCCCCCCCCCCAGAAAAAAAAGAACCGGAGGAGCCTGCACTCGCCTTTCTTTTTTAAATAGTCGTCCATCCCTTCGAAAACTTGATAAAGATCCGAGGTTCGTGATCTTATTCAAGGAAATACAATAGTGACTTCACCGGATTTCGTGGACTAGATTCGTGGCATTGAAGCAGTGAGAGTCGCCTGGGGGCAATGCCAACTCCTGCGGAATGCTCAATCCAAAAGGGACTACAAGAGACTTCCCGTTGATTTGGGAATGTGGAAGTTTTCGAGTGAGTCCCGAGTTGTTATTCGTCTTGGGGAGGCTCCAGCTCCTCCTCATTGATATCGTAGAGTTGCGGTGATGGTGCTCGCGAAGCAACGCGACGTTTTCTCGGAGTGAAGCCACCACAGCGCTTCGACAGTGCACCAACTCGACCGGATGACATCGTTAAATGACGCAGTAACTGCAATATGATACTGCTGTGAGTGGACTGCAAAACTGAAATAATCTCTGAAAAAAGCAAATAATCTCTGACTTGAAACTTCATTTGTCTCACCTTCATTTCAATATTCGCCAACGTCTTCATACGAGCACCGCCGCCGCACGGTGCAGCCAGCAGTGTGCAGCTATTGCGCACGAATCGAATCGTTCTGAAGCAACAGCACGACATCTCACTGAAGCACTTCTCACCACCACAGCATCCAATCACGCACATCAGCGTCAACCACAACAGCTGACGGCACCATTCCTGTAGACGTGCAATTAACGCCTGCCCCAGTGATTGCTCCTTGACACATTCTCGTTCTCGTCGTGAAACTCTGTTGTTGGTTAGCACGTTAAAGTCACATGATCCAATCATATTATCTTATATTGTTGATATTGTTTACGATACTCTCTGAATGAGAAGATATCATAGAGGTTAAAGGTCAATCGTATCTATCATGCGATCAATACATCAATGTCATACTTTCATAAAGATAAGTAAGTGTAAATGTATCTCAAACGTGGATAAAAAGCTAATGGGTGAATGATATAAACATATGAATAAATTACAAATGAAACATACTGAATACTTACTTGTTGTTGTTGTAGTTGTGATGAAGGCGTTTCGCCGAGTACAAAACTTTCGACGATTCGCAACAGCACTGAGCGGACAGTTTTGCTGGCTCAGGGCTGGTTGCTGAGCGGGAGGAGGCTGGTTGTGCCTCGTTTGGATTCAGAAGGCATACGGACGACAAGTCGTCGGAATAGGTCCTCTTGCGGTCACCGGTATATTGAGTACTACGGGAATGAGCACTACGGGCAGAAGAAGTATTTTGGATGAGTTGAAGAGGCAATTGGTCGATTTCCGGAGTCGATGGCGAATAACTAATACTGCCCACGGGTAAACTGTTCGCCATGGGCACAGGTAAAATACTCGAATACAGTATTAAAGTGCTGCTCATTTCAGTTTGTCGTTTCCAGCAATTATTATGATGACTGACGTGACGTGACGCTTAACTGATTGATGAAAAAATACTGAAAAATACTGAACATTTTTGAGAAGCACATCATTCCTCAGGTTATTCACGTCGAAATTCACGTTTCAAGTTGATAAAGCGATTCAAAATTCACTAATCCCTCCCAAAGATCACCACCTAAGTTGTTCAGATTATGACGGATCGCAGTGAAATTTCAAAAGCTCGAAGTGTTGATGACGATTGCAAACACCATACGAGCGCCCATCTTGAGACGTGACTAAATTACACAGCGATCATAAAACGGGTCTAGTTGAAAGGTAAACATTTATTATTATTATTATTCATGTTCCAATTAAACATGTTACGTGTATTATTATGCATATTGATGTTACTATTATTATTAATATGATTGTGATCACATAACAAACATAAAATGATGCAATTTCTAAGCAGAAACTCGTCCTGAACATTCCATATTATCGTTTCTTTTTGCCACTATTACCGTCCAAAAACATTCCTCAATACTAAAGAAAGATCGAATGCCAATCGCGACCAGGATTAAGACTCGGGGTAAAACTAGCTTAAGACTAGTTCTTCCCCGAGAGACAGTCTCGAACAGGCTTGGATAGGGGTAGATTTACAGTTGGTTATTGAACGTTCAAATGATGACATAAGATCGAATGCACTTCATAATGATAATCTTCCACTAGTACTATGTGTGCTGCAATGATCTAATGAAGTCAGAGGCGGGTCCGACCGCAAAGCATCGTCGATCGGGTCCAAAGAGCGTCTTGGTTCGTGACAATTGAGAGATGGATGGATAGGTAGATAGATAGATAGATAGATAGATAGATAGATATCAATCAGATCAAAGAACGTTCGATCATTAAAACACTCACTCGTGTCTCTCTTAATTAAAGCTGCAAAAAGCAAAAGCAGATTGTCGGGAGTAACGTCAAAACGAACACGCTTTGTGCTATGCAGCGCTACATTCACATATCTATCTCTGTTCATATGTCTCTCTGTGTTTCGCATAAATTCCAAATGATCTGCGATAATTTCGATACGATCGCGATTTGTTGTTGTTGTTGTTATTCCAGTGGATGGGTGTTCGTTCATCTTCGAGGATAGAGTGCTGCGAGATAGATTCGAGTTAGAGTGCTGCAAAAAACAACGAAACATCTCCTCGGCACACACAAAAACAACTACTTATCTGTAGGTTTGTTGAATATTTATCATGATGACATAATACACTTATTTGTTGAATATACACATTTTAATATAGTATATTACTCAAAATGCAGTAATCTTTCTGTCCACAGCTGTTACTATCGGATAATTTACGGGAATAAATACAAAAACAGTTCATAATGATAATAGACAATAATATAAACAAGCAATAATAATGTCGCCCAAGGAAAGAGGTAGAGGAGCAAGAAAGACATTTTGTTTTGCAGGAGATGTGAATTGTTTAACGCTCTTCACGTGAATAACACGTGCTTCGCGCATCGCAAATGTGCGGTGATCACGTGGATAGCTGCATAGATTGCATGAGTGTTGATCACGTCTCACCGATTCTCGCCGATCTTGTGCAAATGATTGCAATCGTTGCTATGCGGGACCGATGGTAACATTATTGTTATCACAATGATTTATTGGCACTATCATCAAGATTGTTTATCGGCCGTACTCTCCTTTCTTCATCGCCGAGTGGCACGTGTCTGGGCTTAGGCTGCGTGCCATTTTTGGCGAACCTTCCCAAGAACGTTTCAAATTTGATAATAATAGCTTTATTATTATGGTTGTTATTGTTGCATTATTAATTGATATTGTTTTATTGTGATATTATTATTAAATTATTATGAGGATCATCAGTGTCATTACTAGTGCCACTGTGAACCTCATTAGGGATGTCTTTTCGAGGTAGATCTCGAATTACCGAATTACGAATCAATTCATGTGAAAAACGCCATTCCACTTTCAGAAAAAAACTTATTTTCAGGACATGGTATGGCCGATCGACAGCCTGCGGTAGTAAACAGCGACGACTGTGCTCAACACCGTTCGAAAAGTGCTCCAAAACGAGTGTTTAACAGCGACGACGTTGTTACATCCATTTCCGAGCAAATAGAACGGTGCCCAGTAGCTGTCGACTGTTGTCGAGAAAGGGAACTAGAGAGCGGCACGAAACGAGCGAAGCTGAGTGCTGGAAAGAGTGAAATTAGTGCAAAAAATGTGAGTGAATACCAAGAACGTTTCAAAAACGATGAGTAGTTGCAAGTTGATGTGTAAGGTTTGCGAAATGCGGACGCTTTTTGCAACGTGAATATAATTTCTGCTGTGCATTTCAGCAGCAGCAGGAAGAATCACAATCCCAACCCAGTTGCGCCTCTCTCGCTAACGACAAGAAACGTCTCAGGCAAGAGAACAGCATAGACGTATATTACAGTGAAATGCCTTTAAACGTACCATTCCACGTTAAAGATGGTTTGTTTTGATGATCAGATTTTTTTGGAAGTTTACCTCTCACTTGAAAAAGATCTCTTATTTTCATCCCATTCCGTCGATTTTCCCAATTCTTCTTTCTCGTACGAAAATCCCAAAATTTTCCACTTTCATCGTTTATTTTTTCATAGTCAACGCGCTTCAAAAAGTTTGATTTTTTGTGTCGAAAATTGGTCATTTTTGTGCAGTTGTCGTCCTTGCAAAAGTTTAATCGAATTTCTAATGATAAAATAGGGATTTTAGGAATTCGATATTTGAGTCCGTATTGGACAACGTATCGTACGCGTGCGAAAGGTCGTTGGATTGGACGAAAAATGGTCGAAGTTTTCCGTAAGGAATTCCTCTCGCAAAATGCCAATTATGCGGTATGTTTGTGAGTTTGACCACTTTACTAGAGTTGATTTTTGGGAAGAGTGATCGTTGGATCGATTGAGCGGAGTGTATGAAAGGAGCGAGCGCGTTGTTTTGCAGATGGTTGCATGCAAACTGGGTCGTTTGTTCGTGAACGGTCAGCAAGTGCTTGATCCGGAGTATCGTTTCAAGCCGAACGATGCGATCGTACACGTGGGTCATCGTCACGAACACCCGATTCTGGATCGAAAAATCCGTATTCTGGAGAACAGCGCCGATCTGTTGGTGGTCGACAAACCGCCGAGCATGCCGGTGCATGCCTGTGGACAGTATCGTCTTCACACAGTAATGGGCTTACTCTATACTCAGTACAACATCGCCGGTCTAAGAGGTACGTTAAGTACATTCGATTTTGGAGTGATGTGAATGAGTGGTTTTGAAAAATGATTTGTTTAGTGTTGCACAGGCTGGATCGAACAACGTCTGGAGTGCTGATATTCGCAAAAAACTATGAGACCGATTCGGAGGTTTGCCCATTGCAATTATTATTATTATTATATTTAAAGAAGTAATTTAATTATATAATTATTATTATATTTATATAAGTGATGAAATATAATTCACACTTCAATGCACGTATATTATTTATAGTTAGATTTACTTTATAACTGTTTTAATGTTTTAGTTCAAGGAAACGCTGAAGGCGGGTGAATGGCACAAGGAGTATGTGTGCAAAGTGGACGGTGTCTTTCCCGGGTAAATTTCTGATATTCACTTCATTTCCCGTCGTTCGGGCAACATTTCTAAATTGTCATTATTACTATTATTATTTTTACTGTTATTATTATTATTATTCAGTGAAGATGAGGTGTTGTGTGATGAGCCGTTAGGAACGTTAGTGATCTCAATGGGTATACAGTGTGTGCGAGAAGAAGGTGGCAAGCCGGCACGGACGCGTTTCAGACGGTTGTGGACGGATGGAAAGCGTTTTTCGGTTCTAAAATGCATCTTGGAGACAGGGAGAACTCACCAGATTCGAGTGCATTTGCAGTATTTAGGTGGGTGGATGTATTTCAATGAGTATTTGTGAGAACACGAATTATTTGAGTGTTTTTGCTGTGATTATTCTAGTTAATTGTGAGACTGCGGTGTTGGCGAAATGACCTTGACAATGATACGGTCACGGTCATTTCACCAAAAAATCAGTGAAAAGGAGTGGCGCGTAATGTCCGCATGAGTATGGCCTGAGGTTTATGCCGACGATACACTTCGGCTGGGCGCCTTCGAAAAATGCTTGGAATTTTGGGCGACATCAATCTACCTATGGAAAGATCGGACGATTGTAAGCCTGAGCTGTCCGGCTGGAACTCTGCCAGTCTGATTAGCCAGTATGCCTCTTATAGTGGAAGGGGGTTTTTACTTAAATCGTGGTTGAACAGAGCGTTTATGAGTACGTAGCATTTACTGATACACACACATCAACAATGAGCAGAACAGAATTATGTATCAAAAATATAAGTGTGATTAAGGTGTGATAAGGTGAGATGGTGTTGTAAGAATGACGTGGTGTGTATTACAAAATGCAATATGTTTAGATATATTCATAAATAAGATATAATGATTTGATGAAGAATAAATATTACATAACGAAGGTGAATCACAAAATTTTCGTGAATATCTGTATTTACGACATCTCTCTGATCTGTTGGTTGTTATCATTAGCATTATTGCAGTGATAATTCCAGGTTATCCTATAATTGGTGACGAACTATACAATACGGATGTTTGGGGTCCTAATCGTGGAAGGAACGCCGAGTACGGGAAGTCTTATGAACAGGTTCGAGGGATTATTGCTTTATATGATATTGTTACTGTTGTTGTAGTTTATTAATATTATTTTAGTCATGTATATAAATATTCAGTTTCCAGCTATGCAAAGATATAAGTGATGCGCATCGTTACTCGCTATGGCATGAAACTGTGCACCCAGACTACGAGCAGCGTATGGAACGACTTGCGAACGGAGAGGTACGAATCTCTTTTAGTTATTCGATTTTAGACAGATTTGGGGCAAAATAAACCGAGTCCGGTCTTGTTAGGGGTAATTTTCTGGATTTGTGAGCTGAGATTTGGGCGTAGGGTTGGTCGCCTGAGTTTTTTTTTTCAAGGGGAAAAGGTTCTGATAACCTGATTTGAGTGGTGCATTCTTAATTTCAGGTTGAACCCGAGCCCGATAACCTGAAGATGGATGGTCGTCCTGACTACGACCCGATTTGCTTGGGCTGTAATGTGACGAAACGCCGACCGAGCGAATCGCACTTTATGCTGCATTTGCATTGCCTCAAGTACGAGACTGAAAAGTGGAGTTTTTCGACGGATTTACCGGATTGGGCAGTTGAACCGGCGTGCGAAAGAATCCCGCAAGAAGCTTACGGGAACACCGTGATTGGATAAAGTGATTTGTGATTCGTTGTTATGTGTGTTGCCATTGTTTTGATAATTGTTATTGCTGTTTTGATATTGTGAAAATCAGTGTTGTGATAAATGTTTGAAGTGTTGTAAATGTCGAGTGGTTATCATTCTCGTAATCGCATTATTATTGTTACTGTGACTATATTATCATTACTGCTATCATTTTATCATTGATCGTAGCACTGTTGTTGAGGTGATACATTTTACGTATGCGTAAAAGGATAAATAAATTAAATTAACATCATTGGAGGTTTTGACCAGCGAAGTGTTTCGGTTACTATAGTAACCATATGAAAGCAGTCTAGTCTCTCTGTCTCTGTGAGGGAGGCTGCCTAACAAATACAATTCATGGGCTGTTGGAATGGCACCGATAGTGGGAACGCATCTTTATATCGTCGTTTAGCGAATTTTTTGGTATATTTTTAAATAATGGTTTCGGATAATTTGACTCACGATCAGTTAAAGTTGAGTTGTCATATGAGGCTGCAAGAGAATATTGCACTTGAATTTAAATTCTAATGGTGATGGTCTTGACATGACGACTGCGAATTCGTGGTCGAGTTAGTTTGGCATTTGTGCAATTTATTATTTTTATTTGGTGTCATTTGGAAAGGATAGTGAGTGTTTGCGCGCGTGTTTTCAAATGTTTTGTATCATTATCATTATCAGTTTAACAATTCGTGCAGTCACGTTGCCCGATGCTGATCAAAACCGTACGTGATTGTACAAACAGACACGCTCCCGCGCACTGTATAAGTGTGGGTTGAGCGCAGAAGTTTCCCTGTTGTCGGTTTTATCGATGGCGGGTGGTTGGTGAGTGGAGTGGGGTGGTGTTGGGTTGGGTTGTATGTGTTGCGTTCTCGATTCGGTATTAGGTATGTTGAGCAGCGATATATTTCTTGGCTGCTTTGATGTGGTTACTATGGTAACCACATCGAAGCAACTTTTGTCTCTTGGAGAAATACGCCATACGCACTGGTATTTTCTATTACACTCCATAAACGGGAGGTATTCGTCAAGTGCTTCTCTGATGATGAGTTTTTGGGCAGTCTCTACGGCTTGGCATTAACAATAATGTGGTAATAATCAGTGCTATGATTTATGAGTTATGCTGTTTACATGAGACCACCCTTAGAAGCAGCAGCCGTGAAATTGAGATTGAGAATCTGTCTCTCGCAACGTTGATAAATTTATATCCATATCGGATTTTTGCCACTGCGTTTGATATTCTTTTCAAATGATCAAATCAAATTGATGTTGCAGTTTGGGAGTGATTCTAAAATAAGCTTCGAAACTTACATTTACCTTTTCTGATCGTTGCATCCGGTATTTGTCAGTTGAGAAAATTCGCGTATTAATTATTAAGCGGCAGTAGCTTGGCCACCACCACCACCACCAGCAGCAGCAGTACTGTCTTGTTGGTTTGATTTTAGTGGAATGTGGTGGTACTGAATGGACCGATGATGGCTGTTTTGATCGAGGAACGTGTGGAACAAAATATCACGGATACAATTCATGAGCTGCTGGAGTGGCACCAGAAGAGTGGACGCTTCGCAGTATCGTCATTCAATCCGAACATCGGTGCCGAAGTGAACTTTTTCACGGAACATGTTTGTTTTGTTTTGTTTTGCTTTTTCTTCTCGTTTTTCATCGAGGGGCATTTGCTGGAACCCTGTCAAAATCATGCTGTCATTGAACGAACGCATAAGTGCCGATAACTTGAGTCTAAGGCGACGAAGAACTGACGCGCAAGTCGTAGCTTAAGAGACTAGAGCTGAGCTTAAACTGAGCTCAAGCTTAAGTCAGTCAGTCACCCGAGAAAGGTAGATAATTTGTTTAGTTGCCTATGTTTTGTATCTTCCTTTTTGGTTTTAATTCCTTCTTTCCCCAATATCAGTTGGGTTTTGGTAGTACACTCGTCATTCTGTTATTATTAAAATTTAACAATGTTCACTTATTTCGAGCGAATACCCCGTGAAATAAAAAGATTTTTTAAATGCTCTTGGCTGGGATGTGCACAGATGTTGTGCGAACCAGATACGAACGTTTTCTGTTGCGAACGTTGTTCGAAGTCGGCGCGAACGCTTGTTGGGACAGGTTCGAAGTCGACACGAAGGAACGAACAATAGTGTTGTTTTGAGGGTGGTCGCAGTGAGCATGAGCCGATTCGAAGAGCCGGTGTTCGGTTCACGCAACTGAAATGGCATCCTAACGAGGACTTGGTTGTAGTGGCGTCGAACGACGGAGATTTGCTGCTGAGATATGCAGATGATACAAGTGGTACGCATTATTGATAGCATGCTAGATGCATATAGTCGAAAATCTCGGTGAAGACGACTCTCAGCCAGAATGTAAAAGTAACTTTTGGCCAGCAAAAGTTCGCGGCTTAAATGTAAAAAATTTGACGAAGATTTCGATCAAATTGCATAGGCAAGCGATAAACGAGACATATTTCTATTTATAGAGTTCCACCTACCTGCGGATGATACAGAGCCGTTAGTCGAGATCTCAAGTATGGTATGGAATTGGAGCGCATCATTGCTACTCACTGCTGATAAGGTATGCGCTAAACATTTGCGTGACTTTCCGTCTGAAAATTGAGGCATTTTGCACACGGCATCGCGTATGAATACGTGTGTCTCGCATGAGCGATTGTTGCTTGTTTTTGATCGCGTCTTTTGATCGTGTTTCAGAGTGGAATTGTGGCACTGAATAGGATTGACACGAAGAAACTACGTCAAAGTAAACGTGTGCAAAAACTGACTATTCCAGAGGGTATTAACTGTGCGTTGAGCAAACAATTACACGGGTATTACTCATTTTCTATAACTGCTGCAGGTCACTTGTATTTTATCATTGTCTTAAGTCGGTGATTGAATTTGATCAGTTCGTCTGAAGCATAAGCCTGATCGATTGAAAGAAGTCTCATTAAGTTGAACTGACTTTAATTTTGGGCCTGGCTCAGGGCACGATCTTACAAAAAGGCGGCATAAGCCTGAGCTCAGTCACGAGGTTGATCCCTCTTACTGAAGTCTAAGCCTGAGAGCCTACACGGATGACGATCCATCCCATCAGATATTCTCAACTAAATACGGCATGTTCACGTAAAGGATGAGTAAAATATTGGTTGCTGTACAGCAAAATTTGATTTTGCAGTGTATTTGTTTCAACGACAAAACAGAAAGTGCCTGATAAGGCAGTTAACGTCTCCTCTACTGCACCGACCACCGCAGCAGTACAACAAGCAACATCAATTGACGCAGGTGCTACTAGTCCAGCGGCAGTTCCGCACGAACAAACAACGGCACTTGGTGAAAATGTCATTGAGCTGACAGCACGGCCAGAAATGGTCAGTCGGTCTCTTTCTCGTCTTCACTGGAATATGCTGCCTCACGAGGCCATTCTTTTCAGATAATCCGGATAAATTTCGCAGATTCTGAGTGATATGATTTCGCTTTCAGGGTCAATCGCCTAAAAGCTCTTCTGTGGACAACAATAGTAGGCGGCCGCCCTCCACAACAGCAGCAGCAGCGACTTCGGCCCGCGCCAAATCGGCACGGGAGGATTTGGCCTTTTTTTTGCTGGGTGGCCAAAGCGGTGGTGTGTATCTGTTGGTCGAGCGGGGCGATAACACTCAACCCACAAAAATATTTCAGGTCGGTGTTTTAAGAAGATGACCTCAATTCACCTATTTTTCAAAGCAAGCGTTTCAAACCTAGTGGCACCATCACCCAGAAATTCATTTTTCAAATTTTCATCATTTCTGTCACTTTCAATTAATAATTCTGGTTCATTTTTGGTATCGAGTCTAGGCATCCTTCTTCCGGCACTTGTTTACTTGGGGGGGNCCCCCCCCCTCCCTCCCCCAAAGTAAACAAGTGCCCTTCTTCCAATGGTGGACAAATTTTAGGTAGAAAACGCAGTTGTTCATCTTCTCGAAATTGAATCTAAGTCGTTATTGCTGGCGCTGGGCGATGATTTAATGCTGTATCAGCTGATGATGACAGTGGTGGACGGACGAACAGTCAAGTTGGTCGAAAAATTGCGAGTGAGTGCTGTTTGAGTTGAAAAACGCCAAAACCTAGTGTCAGGATAATGTCATAGGACGGCCAAAATTGGCATAGTTTGGTTACCAAATTGATCATCAACGGTATTTCAGGTGAAATTGACTGGAAAATGGCCGAATTTTGGTATGATAATGACCGAAGAGGGTGTTTTGGCAATGTGTAACTCTACAAAGGATGTGCGGTATGTAGTTTCTTTGAGACGGAATATTCGGAATTGCGTTTCATCATTTTTGACTTTCGGTCTGCACTCAATGATTTGCAAATAATTTGATTTGCAACAGCACTCAATGGAGATTTGCAATTCCGGTACGCAAATAAGCGCAAATTGTTCAAAGACTAACTGATTATTCAGAATATCAACTGGTTTAGGATATGGAATCTGAACAGCGAAGATAATGGCACAATTTCATTGCGAACCTCAAAAGGCTTCTCAGCTGGTGATTGCGTTATGTGCATCTCGTATTCAGCACGAAAAGGTACTTCGATCAGTTAGTTTCTCTTGACAGACTCCATTTCGAGCTTAAACACATACTCCTCTTCAGGGTTTGCTTCGGGGTTTCAGTGTTCAACAGGACGCAATGTTTCAGGATGCCTCTCCGGTGGTACTTCAGATGGGAAAGTGGCCACTTGGAAGCGTCGACGTGAACGTGGGAGCGATACGGACAGCATCGAAGAGGAATGGAAGCTTCAGGAAGCTGTCGATATTGGCACTCAGGTCAGTGTCTATGTCTTTACAACAATTAATTTGTGATCAATTGATTTGTGAGCAATTGATCACAAATTAATTGTTGTAATAATGAGTTGAGGTAGAAGTTGTTCAGGTGGTGATGGTACGTTGGGCGAACACTTGCAATTCGCTGGCCGTTTCGACGGGATTCGCAGTGACAATTCTGAAGGAGCAACCGATCCTGTCGTGTATGGGCGAGAATGTAGGCGAACATTCAGGGATTGATTATTCGTCGCATTTGATTCCTTCCATAGATCGCTGAAATATCCACTCACTCACCTTACTGTAGGGAAATTTCAAGGCTTTTTTTTCAGTTGGTCGCAATTCAAACCGGCAATATGAGTTTGTCATTGGTGCGACTGAAACCAATTGCCGAGCAACAGGAGGTGAAGTTGACGATCTCAGTGAAGGGTATTTTCGTCGGTGAGAAGCAGTTCGCTGTATGGAATCATGAACAGGTGAAGCTTTTTGTGTATAATCAAACTATGTTGGCACTTTTTTACTTTAGGGGGGGNGGGGTCGCATGCGAGCAAGCTCGCGTACAATGATATAAATGCGCTCGCACACTACGAACGACGCTTTCACATGGACCGAGGCCACGCCTACTGCGTATAGCTTCAGCCTAAGCCTAGGCTTGAGCTCGCTTGCCAGCTTCTGTTGTAGTTTCGAGCAATCTGAGGCTACGCTTAGATGAGGCTGAGGTCAAACTTAGGCTGAGGCCATGTGCAGTGGGCGTGGCATGCGCGAGCGTGCTTGCGTGCGACCCCCCCCCCCCCNAAGTAAAAAAAGTTCCTCCCCAACAATGTTTGCCTCCGAGCGCAATGCCAAATTTCAGATTTTCATCTATGATGTTCTCGACTCGAACAATGCTCCGTTAAAAGCACACGTAGCGTCGAGTTTTGCGTGTGTTGTCTCCGGAGTGGGTATTTTCGAACAGAATGTCTACTGCTTGGAGGCAGATAGAATAAATGTTCGAACCATGCAAGTTGGTTGATTGGACTCGAGAATGAATATCTTTTAAGTGTGCACTTTGATTGGCTGTCGTCAACCGGTTGCGGTTTTCAGGGTACAATAAAACAAACTTTATCGATGCCTGAAATGGAGGGTGATGCACATTTAATTGATATACGCAAATGGTGGCTATGCGTTGCCACCTCGAACGGTTTCATCCGAATGTACGATCTTAGCAGAAGGTTAGCTTAGCTCTGCACCTGCACTTGAGAAGCATTTCATGAGGCGCGCACAAGTAAAACTCTTGCTACATTCTTCAGAGTTTTTCAGAGAGGCCAAACAACAATATCATTCCAAGTATGTGGTTGAATCGATCGACGGATTTCATCGGTTTCTAATGGTGAAACTAAATAATGACGGAACTCGTGTTAGTTTCACGTGTACAGTCGGCACTTCTAAAGAGGTGAGGGCTTAGGCTTTTTTTCAAGAAAATTCTAAATTCAGAGAAAATAACCCTTGAATGCACATCAGCGAAAAGCTCGCTGCTAAATCATTACTTACGATTAATAAGCCTTATAATTAGCATTCGTCGGAATTGGTAGCTAGCGCAGCTGTCAGCTGCAACGAATGCTAATTGTAAGATGAAAGAAAGTTTTATTTATTCAAATTCAAATTGTACGCGTTTCGATAAGTACTTTGAATGTGTATCTCGTACTTTTTATTATAAAAAATTTTACTTGTCACGGTTGGAATAATCGTGCGTTGCTGGTAGACAGTTGTTGATTTTTTGTGTTGTTAGGTACAGTACTCATGCTTGAGCGTTTGGGATGCAGAATCGGACACAATCGCGTTTTTCAATTTCGCCACCGGTATGACCGATCAGCAACAGTACGAGGCTGAAGCGGACGCGGCGCTTGCGCTCGGTCAACGACCCATGACGGCGGCTGTCAGGTAGATTTTTTGTGTTGCTGTGGTGATGGTGGCGTAGCGTTCCGGAATTCGTGCTTGTCAGTTGGGTGAGGGTAAACGGGTGCTCGAGTCTGAATTCACAACCTGACTTCAACGTGTAGTAGTGGGATTTGTTGAAGGTCACCAAATTAGGTTTTATGAAATTATATTTTGTTAGTGTTTGAATTTTGAACTTGAATTGTGTGCGTGTGTATTTTTTCTCTTTTGGTGTTTATTTTAGGAAGATCGAAAAAGAGCAATCTAGATATCGTATGGTTGAGCATACGCCCGGCGTACATTGTTGGGATGCGGAAGATCCCAGATTTCTCATCTGCGAGGCGAACCATCGTAACTCTGATCTGGTAAGCATTACTAGCTGCCTTCAGAAAATCTTCGACCGCATATATTTTTCGGTAACTTTTCAGTATCAGTTTATTCAGCGTTTGAAAACGAAAACAAGCTGCTGAAAGTGGAAAGCTCAGATTTTACCGCAAATCATTTGATATGGAAGCGATAAGTTGGGCCATCATCAGCAAATCGATTGTATTGTGAGCCGATCCTCACTTGCCGGATATTTTAGGGTCCGAACTACTTGCTGAGTATGTTCGTCACTTCAGAGCACGGTCTCCAAATGCAAGACGTCCAACCACGCTCGGCAAAATGCGAGGCACTGTTTGGGGTGGCAGTACCGTTTCTGTATTTCATCAGAAAGGTGCGTAAATGGAAGTTTTTTTTGCAGCAGCAGAAAACTGCAAGTGCGGAAAATTTTTTGTCGATTAGTGCTAACAAATTTCAGACAGATAACGATGACGAAGATAGTGATTACGAGAAGACATTAGGACGTTTGCTGCTTCGAAAGGTATTGCGTGAGTTTGTGGGCTTGGAGGATTCAGACAAGCAAACAAAGGAGGTGAGTACAAAGTTGAAGCAGTTACTTGAAGCATATTCAAGTGGTCGAATTAGATACAATTAGAGTTAGATACGCACACACACTTTTCAGGCAATGTTGAATTTCTCATTTTATCTGAGCGTTGGTCGAATGGACGAGGCTTTTAAAGCAATCAAATTCATCAGGAGGTGCGTCAGCCTTAACCATTACTAACTCGACGTTGAGCACTTTGAGCCTCTCGATCAACTCGATCTGGCTCAAAGTGCTCAACTTATCTGATATCTGATCTGCAGCACAAAGAATCGATCTAAAATCGATCAACTAATCATTTCATAATGCTTCAGTGAAAGTGTTTGGGAGCATATGGCGCAAATGTGCGTTAAAACACGGCGTCTGGATGTGGCTTTGGTGTGTTTGGGCAATATGGGTCATGCACGCGGCGCACGCGCGCTGCGCAAGACGATACGCAGCGGGGCGCCAGAAGAGGTGCAGGTGGCCACGCTGGCCGTACAGCTTGGCCTGCTGGTAGGTAGGTTGAGATTTGCGTATGCGCAACAGATCGGTGGCGATTCACCGAAGTGGAGTTATTCGCCGGGTGGTAGTACATTCTGCGGTGTGGAGAGACTTAGAAATAGGGCACTTTATTACTTTGGGGAGTCGCACGCAAGCACGCTCGCACGTGCCACGCACTGCGCAATGGCCTCAGCCAGGTGACCTCAGCCTCATCTAAGCGTAGCCTCAGATCGCTCGATGCTACAACAGAGGCTAGTGAGCGAGCTCAGGCTTAGGCTTAGGCTAAGACTAAGCTTAGGCTGAAGCCATGCGCAGTAGGTGTGGCTTCGGTCCATGTGAAAGCGTCGTTCGTAGTGTGCGAGCGTATGTTTTTATCATTGTACGCGAGCTTGCTCGCGTGCGACCCCCCCTCCCCCAAAGTGAAAAAGTGCCAAAAATAGTTGTGATTTAGGATGAGGCGAGGTCGTTGTTCGCTTCGTGTGGTCGTCACGATCTGGTGAATCGTGTGCTGCAGTCGCAGAATCGTTGGGATCAGGTTGGTGCTAATTGAGCAGAGAGTAATTATTTTGAAAGCTCATTTACTGCATTTAAGTGTTATTAGTCGTGAGTGTATGTTGAGCCTAGTGCAGTGATGTGTGCTACTATATTGTTGTAGTAGGCAGGCAGCATTGCTAGACCTTTTTATGTGCTTAGTTTTTCGTCGGAATTGGCTAACAGGTGGTTGTTCCGCTACAGGCATTCGAAATCGCGGAATGCAACGATCGGATTCATTTGCGGAATACGTATTTCTCGTACGGCAAATATTTGGAATCGTTGGGCGCCACCGAAGCCGCTATCGACAAGTTAGTGTTAGAGCAATCGTACTTGTTTACTGGACGATGTGTTCATTCAGCTTACTCGCTTAGAGCATCTGCCTCCTCAAGTACATCTGCTAAATTGCAGTTACGAGAAATCCGATACACAACGATTTGAGGTACCACGCATGCTCTTTGATGATCCGAAAGTGCTGGAAGCGTACGTGCGCAAACGACGTGATCCGTGAGTTAAACGAGCATTCATAAACTAGTTCAAAACACCCCTCACCCTTTTCCTCTTGTCATATGACTCGGTCAATTTTTTTGAATCGTGAGTCTTGGGGATTTGGAGACAGTTTCTGATTATTGACTGCAAGAAGTAAGGTGATTGATAACTGCAAGGATTATTGAGGAATCTACAACGATGGTGGGCTCAATATTTGGAGAGTATCGGCAATTTGGACGGTGCACAAAGTTTTTATCAGGCATCCAAGGACTATCTGTCTGTTATGCGATTGTTGTGCTATAAGAAAGCGTCGTCGGAGGTGAGCGACTGCTGTGCTCATATTTTGTTTGCGCAGAGGGTATTTGACTACACTGAGCTTTAAAAAAAAGGAATCGGCTCGATCAATTTGATGCAACAAAATTTTTAGGCAACAGAGTTGGCCAACAAAACTGGTGATAAGGCGGCTTGCTATCATTTAGCGAGATATTTCGAAGCCGAAAACGACATGAGCCGAGCGGTGGAATTCTTCAGTAAAGCTCACGCGTACAGCAGCGCTATTCGGCTGGCAAAGGTTTGTAATATTGTTGAGGAATAGGAAAGATCGAATTCTGTTATTGTATTGGAGAGCACGATCTTGACTGCATACACGCTGTTTCTTTATTTTTTAAGGAGCATAACATGAAAGAGAAGCTGGCAAATTTGGCTTTAATGGTCGGTGGAAGTGAACTGGTGGAGGCAGCGCGATACTATGAGGATCTACCCGGGCAGGCGGATAAGGCTGTGATGCTCTACCATAAGGCGGGCATGATCGGTAGGGCGTTGGATTTGGCGTTTCGCACCGAACAGTTCGGTGCACTCGACCTAATCGCCAAGGATTTGCACGAACGTTCGGACGCACGAGTGTTGCAGCGGGCGGCCGAGTTCTTCATCAGTAATCAACAATACGAGAAGGCCGTCGAACTTCTTGCTTATGCTAAAAATGTTAGTCGGTTCTGAGAAGAATTGGAACGGAGGTGAGGAGTGAGTAGTGCATTTTGAAGGTTATTGTGTGATATTTCAGTACGCAGATGCTATCGAGCTGTGTCGCAAGAAGAACGTTCCGGTTACGGAAAAAATGGCCGAGATATTGACCCCGTCGAAGGGTGAGTGACATTCAAGGGTGTTCGAGTGGGTAAGGTAGGGACAGAAACAAGGTAGCACCCAACTTCAACATGATGAAGTTCGTTGCCTTAGGCGTTACATGCGGTTTCATCTATCGCTGACGATTTACAGGCTCCAGATGATCAGCAACGGTGCCTTTAGGAGAGTGCTGCACTTACTTCGGCACCATTATAAAAGTGGTGTTAAATTTTCAGAAATCGTTTCGAACCCTGCCGAACGCAATGAGCTGTTGCAGCAAATCGCCGAGTGTTGCGTGCAGCAGCGCAATTATCATTTTGCAGCCAAAAAGTACACGCAAGCCGGCAACATGCTTCAGGTGGTCTCTTCACTGCTGTCGCTTTTCCCCAATCCTCCCTCTCCCGCTCACTTCCCCTAACTCGTCAAGTATACTCAGCAATTTTAGGCTATGCGTTCGTTGTTAAAGTCAGGTGATACGGAACGAATTGTGTTCTTCGCGCGCAAGGCGCGCAATCGCGAAATATACATTTTGGCAGCCAATTTCTTACAGACGCTCAACTGGAAATCTGATGCCAATCTAATGAAGCACATTGAGACGTTTTACGTTAAAGCAAACGCATTCGAGCATTTAGCGAGTTTCTATGAGGCTTGCGCTCAGGTGAGTGTGTTTGTTGTGTGTATTATTTCTTATTTGGGTGCTGCAGTCGTCCTCGAGTGCACAATTTCGAAAATTCCACATGGTTACTGGAATGCTCTCTTAGGAAACAGCGATATTTCTGCTGCACATTTTTGATGATTCATTTCGGCGTTGCTCAGTTACAGGAGATTGTTGAAGATCGAACCTAAAACAAATTCAGGTCGAGATCGATGATTATCGTGACTACAGTAAGGCGGTTGCAGCGTTTGGTGAGGCACAGCGTTGCATTGGAAGGGCGCTGCAAAATGACACCAAAAATGAGGTTCATCTTAACGCGAAACTTGCTGAGTTGAGTCATACGATGGCCAATATCAAGAAATTTATCGGGATTCGAACGTGGGTTTTTTTTTTTTT